GTACATTGTGAGAGATATTTGGCGCTGAGCTGTACATTGTGAGAGATATTTGGCGCTGAGCTGTACATTGTGAGAGATATTTGGCGCCAAAAGGGTTAAATTGTACACCATAAAATTTATTTCTACAAAATTTTTGCATTTCAGATTTTCCAAATACATTACACCAATTAAATTCAACTGCTCCAGGGAGAAGATATACAAAACATGCTTGTTCTTGAATGTGTCATTTATATAAAATAAGAATATGGAAAAACAAGGCGGTGATCCCTGAAAAGCACAATAATCTCAACATTGGAGTGTAAATCTAACAGTATAAAACAAACAACAGAATTATTACAACATACAAACGATACATCATACTCGTCATATGAAGAAGGAATTCAGTTTTGAAATATTTTTTCACATTTTTGTGACAGTAGTGGAATCAACCACACCAATGAGTATAAAACATGAAGATGACGATAGGGACAAAAAACAATATATATATATTATGCAGCTTTTCTACCTTGTTTATACTGCAACAGATCAAAAAATAATGGTAACTATTTCTTCACTAAAATATCTCCATGCTGTTTTTAATGTGAATGTTAGTGTGTGTATACCTGTATATGGGACAGGGAGGCACTTGTGATATATACATATATATAACAATATATAAGGAAATGTTTATATCCAAAAATAGAACAAAAACCTATATTTCCAATTTAACTTCGATGGATAACCAGCTTGTTATTATCTCCCCCATTGGCAAAAGGGTGAGATGTAGAAAAGTTGAACTAAAAAGATTCCTATATCTAAACACACAACATTAAACAGATTATCTAAGACTTATAACATAAAGTTAAATTGTGTAAATGTCACACACAACATAATTTTAATCCTGCCATTCTCTAGCCATTCATTAAATGAAACAAGAATTTCTGGGAAACATTTATCCGCAAATGGAGAGAGCGATTCTAAATTAAAATGCCCTATTTTTAGTTTTGCATTCCAAAAATGATCTTTTTCTACTTGATTTATTTAATGGGTTTTTATGTCCACTTTTATGGCCTTTTTGGCCTTTCAACGGACAATTTTTTCTACTTCAGAAGCTGTGTCTAAATATTCTGACTCTCTACAAGTTACAACAATTAAATGATTAAAACCAGCAACACTGATTAAAACAGTATCATTTGTCCAAAACGTACCTATCAATTAGAAAGGTTTTTCTGTAAATTACATATTTCTGTAGCACTAAGTCAATCCTGTGATACTTGTGACAAGAAAATGTTTCTGATACCTACACAGGTATAGAACAACTTTAACATAACTACTTTCAACCAAGTCGGAATCTTACATGCCTATTTGAAATATTCCAACCCCAACTTGCTATTGAAGAACAATGTTGACAACTATGTGATATTGACAATTAGTGATATTGACAACTTGATGAGATTGACAACTTGATGAGATTGACATCTTGGTGAGATTGACAACTTGGTGAGATTGACAACTATGTGATATTGACAATTAGTGATATTGACAACTTGATGAGATTGACAACTTGATGAGATTGACAACTTGATGAGATTGACATCTTGGTGAGATTGACAACTTGGTGAGATTGACAACTTGGTGATATTGACAACTTGATGATATTGACAACGCTATAAAACTTAATTACACGAATTTAACAAATCTTCCCTTGTCATGACATGTCAAAAGACACGAAAGATTACAGTAGGGAGAAAACTTTCCGGTTTGACCCCTGAAAATTCTGTAGAAACAAACATGGTCCATGGAGTTTATCATAAATATGTGTCACTGTACAAACTTTGTGTTTTACATTCCTGAAGATTCAATGTAAACAGGGATTTATCACAGAAAAATAACAGTATTTTATAATACAGTTTCATTGAATTCATTTTAAACAGGTTTCTGTAGAAATCTCATGTTCCAGTCTTCTGGGATCTACTGAAACACTTCCTAAATATAATTAATAAATTGCTGCTCATCAGAAGTCTTCAGCCAGGTCTACATTCTCCAGTGTTTAACCAAAAAATTTCTTCATTTCTTTCATTTTTTTTTTTTTTTATTTTCATCACTATAAAATGTATCTGATTCACTACAAACCTGTTTTTACTTCAGTGCATACGATAAAGATCAACAGCTGACACTTCTTTAATGGAGTCCAGCCTATTTACCAGATGAATAAATCTTAAAAACATAGGATCTTTAACAAAGTAACATACATATCCGTAACGAGAAATTCTACTTTGTACTTTTACAAGAGGAAAATAAATCATAAACAAAAGACCCACAATATTCTTATTAAAATGAAGAAATGAGACTTGGTACATTAGTTCAATTAACATAATTCTCTAAATACTGTGATATCAGCTATTTTTGTAGGGCCTCAATACTGTGATATCAGCTATTTTTGTAGGGCCTCAATACTGTGAAATTGGCTATTTTTGTAGGGCCTCAATACTGTGAAATCGGCTATTTTTGTAGGGCCTCAATACTGTGATATTGGCTATTTTTGTAGGGCCTCAATACTGTGAAATTGGCTAGTTTTGTAGGGTCACCATACTGTTATATCAGCTATTTTTGTAGGGCCTCAATACTGTTATATCAGCTATTTTTGTAGGGCCTCAATACTGTGAAATTGGCTATTTTTGTAGGGCCTCCATACTGTTATATCAGCTATTTTTGTAGGGCCTCAATACTGTGAAATTGGCTATTTTTGTAGGGCCTCAATACTGTGAAATTGGCTATTTTTGTAGGGCCTCCATACTGTTATATCAGCTATTTTTGTAGGGCCTCCATACTGTTATATCAGCTATTTTTGTAGGGCCTCAATACTGTGATATCAGCTATTTTTGTAGGGCCTCAATACTGTGAAATTGGCTATTTTTGTAGGGCCTCCATACTGTTATATCAGCTATTTTTGTAGGGCCTCAATACTGTTATATTGGCTATTTTTGTAGGGCCTCAATACTGTGAAATTGGCTATTTTTGTAGGGCCTCAATACTGTGAAATTGGCTATTTTTGTAGGGCCTCCATACTGTTATATCAGCTATTTTTGTAGGGCCTCAATACTGTGATATTGGCTATTTTTGTAGGGCCTCAATACTGTGAAATTGGCTATTTTTGTAGGGCCTCAATACTGTGATATTGGCTATTTTTGTAGGGCCTCAATACTGTGAAATTGGCTATTTTTGTAGGGCCTCAATACTGTGAAATTGGCTATTTTTGTGAAATCTCATTACTGTGAAAACAGCTATTTTTGTGGTATGAATATTTTGATATCAGCCATTTTTGTGTGTCTCAATATTGTGAAAGGACATATGATGTACCATGTAGTCGTTGAACTTTGCAGGGCTAATATTTGACAGATACTCTGAGTTGTGCACTGTCACCAATACATAGATAATAACACACATTTTCAAAGAATTTAAAAAAGAATAATATAAAAAAAACCCAGTGAAATTAACATGATTTGATAGTTGTCAATACAAACAGCTAACATGACGAGATATTAGTTGTCAATACAAACAGCTAACATGACGAGATATTAGTTGTCAATACGAACAGCTAACATGACGAGATATTAGTTGTCAATACGAACAGCTAACATGACGAGATATTAGTTGTCAATACGAACAGCTAACATGACGAGATATTAGTTGTCAATACGAACAGCTAACATGACGAGATATTAGTTGTCAATACGAACAGCTAACATGACGAGATATTAGTTGTCAATACGAACAGCTAACATGACGAGATATTAGTTGTCAATACGAACAGCTAACATGACGAGATATTAGTTGTCAATACGAACAGCTAACATGACGAGATATTAGTTGTCAATACGAACAGCTAACATGACGAGATATTAGTTGTCAATACAAACAGCTAACATGACGAGATATTAGTTGTCAATACAAACAGCTAACATGACGAGATATTAGTTGTCAATACAAACAGCTAACATGACGAGATATTAGTTGTCAATACAAACAGCTAACATGACGAGATATTAGTTGTCAATACAAACAGCTAACATGATGAGATATTAGTTGTCAATACAAACAGCTAACAATGAATTAGTTGTCAATACAAACAGCTAACATGACGAGATATTAGTTGTCAATACAAACAGCTAACATGATGAGATATTAGTTGTCAATACCAACAGCTAACAATGAATTAGTTGTCAATACAAACAGCTAACAATGAATTAGTTGTCAATACAAACAGCTAACATGACGAGATATTAGTTGTCAATACAAACAGCTAACATGATGAGATATTAGTTGTCAATACGAACAGCTAACATGATGAGATATTAGTTGTCAATACGAACAGGTAACATGATGAGATATTAGTTGTCAATACGAACAGCTAACATGATGAGATATTAGTTGTCAATACGAACAGCTAACATGATGAGATATAGTTGTCAATACCAACAGCTAACAATGAATTAGTTGTCAATACAAACAGCTAACAATGAATTAGTTGTCAATACAAACAGCTAACATGATGAGATATTAGTTGTCAATACAAACAGCTAACATGACGAGATATTAGTTGTCAATACAAACAGCTAACATGATGAGATATTAGTTGTCAATACGAACAGCTAACATGATGAGATATTAGTTGTCAATACAAACAGCTAACATGATGAGATATTAGTTGTCAATACGAACAGCTAACATGATGAGATATTAGTTGTCAATACAAACAGCTAACATGACGAGGTATTAGTTGTCAATACAAACAGCTAACATGATGAGATATTAGTTGTCAATACAAACAGCTAACATGACGAGATATTAGTTGTCAATACAAACAGCTAACATGATGAGATATTAGTTGTCAATACCAACAGCTAACAATGAATTAGTTGTCAATACAAACAGCTAACAATGAATTAGTTGTCAATACAAACAGCTAACATGATGAGATATTAGTTGTCAATACCAACAGCTAACAATGAATTAGTTGTCAATACAAACAGCTAACATGATGAGATATTAGTTGTCAATACAAACAGCTAACATGATGAGATATTAGTTGTCAATACGAACAGCTAACATGACGAGATATTAGTTGTCAATACGAACAGCTATAAAACTGTAAAAGGATTCATCCAATTCTTGGGCAGAGAAAATGGTCTTCACGTCCAAAAATCAACATCACATTAGTTAAAGCTTGTTTAGAAAAAAAAGTCAAATATCAAAAGAAAAAATAAATTATTATTGAAGAAAACGTACACAAATAAAACTTCAACAACACAAAATAGTTAAAAATTCTAATCATCTCTTATAATAAAAAACAGACAGGAACTTGTATATCAATCACTTAGTAAACACAAGACGACGGATATATACATGTAGGTTTGTAAATTCTGGTTTACAAGGATGCACAATTACACAGTTTCAAGTTTTAATATGGGGTCTTTATGGTTATCATGAAATATATTGATAAAAGTATGGTTGACCTGAAAATTTTGATTTAGGTACAATAACTTTGAAAAGATCCCAAAAACATAACAGGAATTTCCTCGTCTCCATCTAAATTGGACAAACTGTATGACACATTGCTTTAAACAGTAACAATAACCCTGACGCTGGATTGCTGAAACACAAATTCCTGATAGGTATTCTCTTACTCAAATGGCAAGTAATGTTTGACTAAAATTCTGTAAAGTTTATGGAGCAAGGAATATTGTCAAATTTTTTTTATTGAAATTAATCTTAACTTTTGAATCCTGAAATAAGGACTCCTCATAGATATTCTCACAACAAAACGTTTGGGGAAGGAAGATTTACATAAAAAAATTCAAAACTTTTTATGTTGTATGTTGAATTATTCCAAGACCTGGTGCATAGTTTTGTAATATTTAGCCACCAGTTATTGTGTCATACAAGCACTAAGAAACTATCCACTACCAAAGTTTGTTGCAATTGTTTGGTTGGCATAGTTATAGCCACGGTACAAATTGCCCTTGACATTGACATCCTCAAAGGCCCGTACCATCATCAGCGACAGCTTGTGATCCATATCAGTGATACCCAGTCTATAGTACAGAGTCCATAATGCCACTGCATACCCAGTTGTTATGTTTGCCTCCCTCTTTGCCTCGGCCACTAACATTGTTGCAGAACTTGTCGCTTCACCTCCCTTTATCAACTCATTGGCTGTAAAAAGACAAAATCTGGGTTGAAATTCAGAAGAAATCAGGGATAAAATTTCATAAGAAATCTAGGATAAAATCCCATGCCTGGCAATAAGCCCACCAAAATCTATTGCACCTCTGTATAATGGCTTACAAACTTTTCTTCATCCTTTGTCCTGAAATAAGCCTACTCCCCTCATTTGAAGATAACATATGTATGTCAGGTATGCATCGTATTTTCCACCCTATAAACTGTACTGTATAAGCCACAGGACTGGTTTTTAGTGATTTTTTTCAATTTGATCCACATATAAGACGCACCAGTATATAAGTTGAACTCTTTCTTATAATGTGGTAACCATTATGTTGACAAGGGATTGTTGATAAAACAGACAACGGAAGTCAATTAATCAAGATTGTTAGTGAAACATTTAATATAAGTTTGCAAATGAATTATACACTGATAATCCTTTATTTCATTTACGCGTTTCAAAAACGTAAAAAAGTAATTACCGCACTCATTTGGCTTGGAAGGTTTCAAAGATTGTCTACGCATAGAAACAGGGCCTGATGTTACGTACAGTTTACTGAACAATATCTCCATCATAGTCTATACTGTTAAATATTAGCGAAGACCCTGCATGCTGACTAAATTCTTATAGCCCAAAATATTTCTTCCAAGATACACAAAGCCATTCTGATTGTAATCAAGCATGGCGGTCATTCTAGAATTTGACTTGATGACCTATCAATCCATGGATGCAACAGGCTATTGTAAACTATGTTTTGGCTTTCAAAGCAACCACGAAAGTTAAGAAGATATTATTGTGATTCATATTAAAAAGTACGATTAATTAAATCCACGAGAATGCTATTTTCATTTCAGTCTTAAAATCACCCTGTATAAGGTTGCAAATGACGGTTCAAGGCAATCTGTTTCAGTCACTAATACCTGATGGACAGGTACTCGTTAAAAAAATGTTTTTTTTTTTAATCATTATTTTTTTATTCTTCCTGGAAGCATGACATGTTACAGGGTGCAAGGTCACTCAGGTCAACAGTGCATGTGATATGCCTCGACAAAATGGCTGCTCCAAAATGCTTAACGGTCTAGAACCAATGTCCAGACAATACACTTTTTATTCTTTTTTCATTCTGTCAATTTTTCTTGTCCACATATAAGCCTCACACCAGACTGCAGAAGAAAAAAGCCCAGAAAAATATGGTAAAAAGTTTACAAAATATTTTCTTTAATAGATTCCTAAATCTGTTTCATCTCGTTTTTAATCTCATTTTATACAATGATCACTAAAGTCTTTAATACAAGAAAACCTTAACTGTCTCAAATATCCAAACCTCATACCTTCATTTTTTTTCTGTTCTACCATTCGCTCTGTCTCCTTCTCAATCATTGTGTGGTTTTGTTTGAAGAACTCTGCTTCAGCTCTCACCTATCAACAAATTAATTGAATTCTATTATTGTATAACTTCTACATAGACAATTTAGCAAACTTTGAAATTTTTTATTCCCTGGTTGACATCAAAATATTATTATCTTATGTTTGTTTACCTTATGTTCAAATATGAATTACGCTTTCAATCAAAATATTATAATTCCATGCTTTAAGGACACTTGAAATCAATGCCTACAGTTGAGAAATGAATTACAACATTCAGTTGTTTCATGTTACATAGATATTCCTCCAGTGACAAGAAATCTTGATGTTATATATATATATATATATAGAATGTCCACTTATGAGACCAGGAATCTTAATATTATATATACAGAATGTCCAGTTACAGGAATAGTGATATTTTATATACAGAATGTCCAGTTACAGGAAATATGATATTTTATATACAGAATGTCCAGTTACAGGAATAGTGATGTTTTATATACAGAATGTCCTGTTACAGGAATCACGATATTTTATGTACAGAATGTCCAGTTACAGGAATCACGATATTTTATGTACAGAATGTCCTGTTACAGGAATCACGATATTTTATGTACAGAATGTCCAGTTACAACAATAGTGATATTTTATATACAGAATGTCCAGTTACAGGAATAGTATTTTATATACAGAATGTCCAGTTACAGGAATCACGTTATATTTTATATACAGAATGTCCAGTTACAGGAATAGTGATATTTTATATACAGAATGTCCAGTTACAGGAATAGTGATATTTTATATACAGAATGTCCAGTTACAGGAATAGTGATATTTTATATACAGAATGTCCAGTTACAGGAATAGTGATATTTTATATACAGAATGTCCAGTTACAGGAATAATGATATTTTATATACAGAATGTCCAGTTACAGGAATAGTGATATTTTATATACAGAATGTCCAGTTACAGGAAATATGATATTTTATATACAGAATGTCCAGTTACAGGAAATATGATATTTTATATACAGAATGTCCAGTTACAGGAATCACGATATTTTATGTACAGAATGTCCAGTTACAGGAATAGTGATATTTTATATACAGAATGTCCAGTTACAGGAAATATGATATTTTATATACAGAATGTCCAGTTACAGGAAATATGATATTTTATATACAGAATGTCCTGTTACAGGAATCACGATATTTTATGTACAGAATGTCCAGTTACAACAATAGTGATATTTTATATACAGAATGTCCAGTTACAGGAATAGTGATATTTTATATACAGAATGTCCAGTTACAGGAATAGTGATGTTTTATATACAGAATGTCCAGTTACAGGAATAGTGATGTTTTATATACAGAATGTCCAGTTAAAGGAATAGTGATATTTTATATACAGAATGTCCAGTTACAGGAAATATGATATTTTATATACAGAATGTCCAGTTACAGGAAATATGATATTTTATATACAGAATGTCCTGTTACAGGAATCACGATATTTTATGTACAGAATGTCCAGTTACAACAATAGTGATATTTTATATACAGAATGTCCAGTTACAGGAATAGTGATATTTTATATACAGAATGTCCAGTTACAGGAATAGTGATATTTTATATACAGAATGTCCAGTTACAACAATAGTGATATTTTATATACAGAATGTCCAGTTACAGGAATAGTGATGTTTTATATACAGAATGTCCAGTTACAGGAATAGTGATATTTTATATACAGAATGTCCAGTTACAGGAATAGTGATATTTTATATACAGAATGTCCAGTTACAGGAATAGTGATATTTTATATACAGAATGTCCAGTTACAGGAATAGTGATGTTTTATATACAGAATGTCCAGTTACAGGAATAGTGATATTTTATATACAGAATGTCCAGAAGAATACCTTGAGAAGTAGGGACCGCAGATATCTCTCTGATATGTCACTTGCAATATAGACTGTTGATAGCTGAAAGTAGCGTATATCAACATGGTAGATGGGATCACACATGGACGTTGTGTCACACAGGTTACATATGGTCTTGTTGGAACAGCTTGGACAACACTCAGGACAACACGTACCTGCATAATGTTATAACAAAATATACATTTTGGTCAACATTTCTTCATGGCATCATAAAATAAACTCAATTCATTTTCAGTTCTTTTAGATTAAATTACATTTAATGGAAGTTGTCAGGGTTTTTTGAGATCTTTTTGGGTCAATCATGGGCCTAATTCCTGTTGAAATTATTTCACCTTTGAGTCAAATTCCCAAAATTTGTGATTTACTCCTTAAAACTGCTTTCCTAATTCAGCAATTCTCTTCCCAAAATGATGCAAAAATGCCCCAGCCCAAATCAGTGAAAAAAAAGGCCTGGTACTAAGTTTTAATTACAGACATGAAAGTGAAATTTGTGTGATTATTTATGATTACTAATAAAAGACAGATATCCCTTGGAAACACTAAGAAATCATTAGTTGGATGATAACAGAAATATCTATAAGATGGGAGACTTCTTACCCACTCTTCTTAACACTGGCCAACTCCGATAATATGTCTATAATTTGTATCAATACAACTTACTGAGAAAGCTCTTATCAAAGAAAATTCAATAAAAAAAAAAACCCTAAAAAGCCCAAGAACCTAAACGGTCGCCTTAGTAAACTCACGAATGAGAACAATTGGAATAAATGTGTAGTATAGAGAAGTGAAAAGAGAAATACTATTTGTACACGAATAGAGTTTACATAAAAAGTATTTGGTTTTTCATCATTTGGTTATTGAGAAGAAGATTTCTGAAAATTCAAAATCTATTTCATCCTTGGGTTTTTTTGTTTAACAAGCAAAAAACCAGTATTATGTGTTAAATCATTCTTTCTAAAGTAGGTGTAAACCAAATTTCAAGTCAACTAGATACTTCGAAAAGAGCCACTTCTCAGAATTCATAGGCAAATGTATAATTACATGTCTACCAACATTTGAAGAATAGACATATGTATAACAACACAACCTGTATTTATGAACTTTGTCTAACAATAAAGCTTACCCTGAAGACGGACTTGGATGGTTTTACAAAAACGCTTTTCTGTCTCAGTCCTGTTGAATCGGAAATCATCAAGGCTGATGTCAGCTGCAAAATTCTTAACCTTGCTGCGCACAACACTCTTAACAATATCCTTGTAGTCGAGACCAAACTTCCTGTGTAACTCTCCAAGCTCAGAAGCTCTGTTGAATAAAAAACATACCAATACATTTACAAACAAAATTTACAAACAAGAAAATTAAATATCCAGAGGGTCTGTATCTTTCATCAAATATTCACATAAAAAATTGTGAAAATTTAGTATTAAACTAGAAATGTCTACAAGGAAAAGTTGTTTTATGTATCATAATTCTCAGCCTTTTATTCTAATGAGTCATTTTCAATGGATGGTTCACACTTCCCTTTAACCTAAATGACTGGGGTTTGATTACCTGATTGGATGGTATAAGGTAAGAGGTCACCTGCTTGACCATGTAAATTTTTGTTAATCCATCACAGGTTATGTCAATCTATCACAGGTAATGTCCATCTATCACAGGTAATGTCAATCTATCATAGGTAATGTCAATCTATCACAGATGTCAATCTATCACAGGTTATATCAATCTATCACAGGTAATGTCAATCTATTACAGGTTATGTCAACCTATCACAGATAATGTCAATAAATCATAGGTAATGTCCATCTATCACAGGTAATGTCAATCTATCATAGGTAATGTCAATCTATCACAGGTTACATCAATCTATCACAGGTAACGTCAATCTATTACAGGTAATGTCAATCTATCAAAGGTAATGTCAATCTATCACAGGTGATGTCAATCTATCACAGGAAATGTCAATCTATTACAGGTAATGTCAATCTATCACAGGTTATGTCAATCTATCACAGGTAATGTCAATCTATCACTGGTTATGTCCATCTATCACAGGAAATGTCAATCTATTACAGGTTATGTCAACCTATCACAGGTAATGTCAATCTATCACAGGTGATGTCAATCTATCACAGGTTATGTCAATCCATCACAGGTAATGTCAATCTATCACAGGTAATGTCAATCTATCACAGGTAATGTCCATCTATTACAGGTAATGTCAATCTATCACAGGTTATGTCCATCTATCACAGGTAATGTACAGGTAATGTCAATCTATCACAGGTTATGTCAATCTATCACAGGTAATGTCAATCTATCACAGGTAATGTCAATCTATCACTGGTTATGTCAACCTATCACAGGTTGTGTCAATCTATCACAGGTAATGTCAATCTATCACAGGTTATGTCAATCTATCACAGGTTATGTCAATTTATCACAGGTAATGTCAATCTATCACAGTTAATGTCAATCTATCACAGGTAATGTCCATCTATTACAGGTAATGTCAATCTATCACAGGTTATGTTTATTCTAAAAAGATTACCTGAGGAAATACTGAAAGTGAAAAGTGATTGATATCTCAAGTTTGTCTTTGGTGAAGACATCCTCTGTCAGAGATACAAATACCGCAGAGCCTGGAAACTTGACAAACTCTCTCTGAGGCCCGAGGACATAACAGCCAGGATGGTAAGTATAGTCGCGGTACACAGTCCCAGTATACGTGTTCTTCAGCAAGGCAATCTACAACATCAATTTTCTTATTCTTTAGTGGACGTCATCATGAGGGCTTTTCCAGTAAAACATCTACTTGTCACTACCAACTCAATAGAAAAGAAATATTTAGATACAAAATTATGTATTTTGACACATGAATTTTGACACATGAATTTTTTCACATCTCTCTGTTCTATTACTAGTTAAAATGTCCTTGACCTAGATAGACCCATTGGGAACTCATTCTTTTTTTTTGTTTGTATTTTACTTAACAGTATCAATGACCTTGACCTTATACTAACCTCGTAGTGTTCCACATACACAAAACTGTTGGGGAACACCCCTAAGAACACAATAAGTCCGAGGAATCCGATAATTGCTCCTATCAGTATCAGCAAACGAGCTGGAGATCCTTCACGGGCTTCTTCCGTCCGCCGTAAGAAGAAGCGACCAAGACTAGTCACGACGGAATTAAGAAATCCACAGGAATTGCACTGAAACGTCTCGCTGTAATATCAAATACGTATTACAAGAAGAGGGGTCAATCAGTGTAAAATAGAATTTCCTGTATTTTCAGGAGGCCAAAAATATATCAATAAAAACCTATTTTATTTGGTAAGACAATTACCATTTCAGAATTTCTTGACTGAAACAAATTCCTGAGAGAGACTTTAACATAAATAAGATAGAGATGATGATCAGATGATCAACATATTTCTTTGTTTATCATTTATTTATCATTTATGACTATTTACAAAAGATGCTTTGATTACAAAGGACACAAGAATAATAGACACCTGTTTTAGAAATCATTTTAAATAAAAAGTGTAGCTGATTTGCAATACTTGTCATTTTGTCTTTTTGAATCCTGCTTTGTAAATACATTCTTAGAATAACAACTTCAAACAAACAGATCACCTTCAATGCTGTCTATATTATATATAGTAAGTTCTATTCAACCATTTTTCGGAAAACCTCCTTTCCTAGACTTATTATTTATGTGTATACACAAGTTTAAAGATACGAGGCGATTTTGGTTCAATGTGAAAGTATTATATCACCTGCCCAGCCCCCGTGGCTTTTCCCTGGGTATCTAGTTTCTTCCCACAGTAACGATACTTCCCACATTTCCATCCGTGCCAATAGCAATGATTATTATAAGCTGATGGCTTGTTTTGAAGTTGTTGTAAAAACACTAGTTTGTAGTTTTGAAATGGTAAAAAAAAGCACATTTCATAAAATTATTGCGTTGAATGAAAAGATAGTTATAGTCTGTTTCTTTAAAGTTTATCAAAACAAGCTTGAATGTAGGATTATAACAGGATAATGAAATACCATCCATGAACAGCAACATCTTTGGTAGGACTTATAAATAGGACCATGTTTATGGTTGCATAAAAAATATGCAATGCATTTGACATACCATTCTCCAAGATGTCACCAGTACCACAATCAGACTACATTATCTGATGATGGTGGACTAAAAAGAGAAGTAATTTTGAATTTACCTTGTTTTCTCCCTTCTTCTTCCAGCCTCAACATCAGCGACCGGTGTACTTGTCTCATTAGAAACTAAAATTTGAACGAAGAAAATATTACATATGCAATCCCAATTACACATCTGACAGGTATATAACAGATTTTTAGAGTACAGAAAGGTCAGACAATGACCTTGAAATACTGTTCTTAGACAAATTTCATAAAACACACAAACATGCTTTTATCGTTAAATTTTTTCAAAATCAAAACATGGAAATTTTCCAATTTTTCAAACTGAAATTATAAAGGGATCAAACTGAAATTATAAAGGGTTTTACAAAAAATAAATCAACAGCTAATTTGTTAAATAAATCAATAACACACAAAGTAGAAAGTAATTACCTTAATTAGATAAATTCAATTATAGTAATAAGAGATGTTAATCAATCAATAATGAAAAACAATTAGAATCGTACATGAGAGAGAGAGCTGTGGTGTAGCTTTGTCCTCCTGGCCTGGTGGGAGTTCCTCTATATCTGAGTCAGGCACCACCTGAGGAAATCTGTGTTGATCTTTGGGGTCCAGGCTCAGCGCTGCATCCAGTGACGACTCCTTGTATACCTCCCTTGTAGGCCCATCATCAATTGGGGCTTCCTCCTCATAAGGTATCCTCCTGGGGCGCATTTGCTGCTGTTATAATGAAATAAAGAAAACAAATTTATTTAAGAAAAAGACTCAATTTTGTTTTGGTATTAGAATTCAATGAACAAATATTCTGTCAAAAAGTTTATATAAAAACTGAGTAAATTTGTACCCAATAAACACAGTAGTTATGAGGCTAGTTTTCTTAACTTATAAACAATTCTTACTGCAAAGATCTTTATTGAAGGATCTTAAATAATTTATTTCTTACCATTAAAAATTCAGCTTAAGATCAATTCTATACTACCAACAGAACTGAGATATTTCTGTTGATCAAGCTTAAATATACTTTATCGATTTATATAATGACATTAAAATTTTCAGAGTTTTATCAACGGCTCGGAGAGCAAAGGGATTATTTGTACCTAAAAAGTTTTGAACAACTGTAGATTTCATTATCAATTTAATGTTCAAAGTATCTTTTTTCAGTGTTTTTATTCCAACCTTGAAAATAATGGCCCATATATATAAATGTAAATCACAGATATATGATAATACATACTTAGTCACAGTATTGTACAATTATTCCATACATACACTACACAAGATCACACAGAAATTACAAATCATTACATAACCTTACTACAAATTTGTGCTTGGTATGATCTAAAAATTCTTTTCTTCTTCCTTTTTTAAATTTCTTAATGTTGTTGGATAATCGTGTTTATACATTCTGAACCAATCAAAATATTGCAACTTTTAGTCACGCCATCTCAGGATCACTGGTGATAAGTTTCAAACAAGTAAAACTAAATCCAAAATGTGTGTTGGTGAGACAACAATAATTGTGTACCGGGTATTCATCTGTTATAGGTACAAGATGTGTTTCTGAGACATTATACCCTTGGTTGCAAAAAAATTCTGAAGTGGGACACTGTACTGTGTAAGGCATTTGCTAATTGCATACATTTTTTGTGAAACACTTATGTCTTCATTGTGGTAATGTTGTTTTTTTAACTTTCAAATGTAGGTCAAAGGTGATGGTCAAATGGTGAAAATTTGGTACCATCAGAAAGGTCGCACATGCCAAATATAAAAGCCCAACCTCCTCAGATGCAAAAGTAACGGGCAAGGTTAGAGTTGACAACAGATAAACATACAGTACAAAATCAATATGCCTCCAATCGTTCGATCTGGAGACATAAACAACACAAAAGAGGTCCATAGGGCCTGTATCACTCAACAGGTTTTTAGAAATTTGTTTTGGTTTCAATTGCATCAGGTGATCTGAAGGAAAAGGAATTCTAAATATATAAGAACACAACACACACCATATCTACTTTCTCATTGAGCCTCAACCCTCTTTCCCAAAGGGGTTAAGCCATACCATTCATGCTTCGGATGAAGTTGAAACAGGATCTGCCATTCCTATAGCAGAAGACAGATTTTAAATAGTTTGTTCTATTTCCCATTTAATCGTTCCTGCTCCTTCCAACCAAGGGTATTGAGACCAACTGATTATACAAAATAGATCGCCATTAACCATGAATACTTCAAACTAAATTTGGGCAAAATCCAATCATTCGTACACAAATCTAATGAATTTCCTCTAGGTCCCTTATTGGCCCACCCCTCCTGCCCTAGGGGACCGCGACCCATAACTTATACCAAATTGATTTCCCTTCTCCCAACAATGCATAGCATGAAATCAGGACAAAATCAAATAATTCCTGAAGGAAGAGCAGGATTTAAAAGAATATGTTTTATTTCCTCTTTAGAGCCCTCCTCTTGCCCCAGTGAGCTGAGACCCACTGATAACACATAATTGATTTCCCTTGACCTAAACATGCTTCAGACCAAATAAGGGCAAAATCCAATCATTAGGTGGGGGGGTCGAGACCTGCCTTTATACAAAATTGATTCCCCTTCACCTAAGAGTGCTCCAGACCAAATTTGGGCAAAATCCAATAATTCCTATAAGAAGTGGAGGATATCAAAGAATTTACTCCAAATTTAGTCGAAATCTTCTTTATCGTTTATGACTAGTAACATTTTTTAGGAATAAAGATGATGGACAACAGATACTGCTGAGGTATGGCATAAGCTCATTGGTCCTTCAGACCAGGTGAGCTAATAACTACATCTAGTTAGAACAATCTTTGGATCATTCTAAGTAAGTTTTAACTACATGTAAATCTCACAAGTGGACCTTGAAAAGAAAATTTGAGAGGTTCACACATGGCCTATGCCTATTAAACCAATTTGGGTAAGACAGCCTGAAAAACGATTATTTCAATCCTGCATCAATGATGTAAAATTTCAGTTTCTTTTGTAAATCTGAGTTCAGGACACTTTTTCTATAGAATATCATTCTACATTAGCCTCAGGTAGTTTATACAGACCTATACAGACACATAGTGAAAATGGCAGAAAAAAATGATGACTGTGTACAAAACGTCGAAGTCAAGTGCACTAACACTTAAAACATCAAAGTCAGGTGCACTAACACTTAAAAACATCAAAGTCAAGTGCACTAACACTTAAAAACATCAAAATCAGGTGCACTAACTGACACCTAAAAACAAAAGAAACAATACACTTGTCCATGAGGCTTTGCCCAAAGGCTGAGAAATCCCTGTCCATTTTCAAACATTTTCAATTCACAATAAGTTATTGTGAACTGTATACATTGCATCATTAACAATGGTCTATTAAAAGTTAATATTGAAGATAGCAATCATTTGTGTAACAGTTACACCAAAAGAAATGATGACTTAACCTTTGTGTGACCTAGAAGAAGAAATTCACATGTTAGAAGTGTGAGGGAAAACTTGACTCCACTTGTCCGTAGATTACAGGTTGGAGATTAATTGGTTAGTCCAGACAAACCTGGTTTATTGTTTCTCTTACCCTGGAAAGGTTAATCAACACTTTTTATCTGTGCGAGATTTCATTTTTCTCACTCTAAAATAATCATTCGCCCCCTTGTTGTAGAGATAGGGCTATCTCAACCCTTGGTAAAAGATTCTTTAGTTGATCCTCTTTCCACTTGGTGTGAGATCCGCCTATCTCACCTCCAAGGGGGTGAAAAATTCTATTAATCTATCCTGCAATAGGCTGAAGCCCTAGAAGGAAAGTGGGCTTCTGAAAGGACAATTTCTGACATCCAAAGATGCGGAGTTGAGAGTGGGCTAATTACTGGTGGGCTTATTGTTGGATAAACAATGTGCTGGTGCTCACTGTTGACATAAATAACAGAGGAAACAATTTTCTTACCATGGAAGATACAGGTGCAACTAGTATCTGTAACAACCATATATAAATATATGTATATCTATGTATCATAACTCAAATCCACTCTTTTCACAGAAATCATTGTTCTTTTGATGTTAACCTCACCCTGCCACCCAGCTTCAAAAATTGAGAATGTTTTTATCGGACAAAATTTTATTTTACAAATCCCAGTGCCTTGTTTTTTGACTTCATGTAACAAGGTGGTTCTAAGATCCTTTATTCTGTTTTTAGAATGGTTGGTCTGCTAATTTATGAATTATGAACCAATCATAAGTGTGATGCTGATGTAACCTGCTCATTTTTTCATGATGCCTCTAACACAGTACCGGTAACAGTGTAGTTCAGTCATTAAAATTACTCTCCATGTAGACTTTAAGCATTAATTCATCTATATATTCAAACGTCTAGAAAAAAGGTTGAGCATGACACCTACTCATCAATTCTGACCTTACCTGACTTGTCAGAATGACATTGCTCACAACACATCTAAAAATGTTGGAGTTATATCATATAACTAGTTTTAAAAGTTTAAACAATGGTTCATGGACATCATATTCAATTCTGACTTCAATCATGTTTTCATAATGGATTGTTATTGGTATATGTAAACTTGTACGTTAAAGTGGTGTTGGCACTTGGTTTAGTGGATTTCTGTGTCCTCAAACTCTCTTTATACTATAATCTTTGTCACATTTTTTCTATTTATCATTTCATGGATATATAAATTTGTGGATTTAGAACTTACTTATTCAATAAAATTATCTAATTATTTCACCTAATTGTATTCTTAAAAAAAACCCTGCATTGCTGACTGCTTCCTATAAATCACACCATGATATCTACTAAATATTGATTTTTTTAACGCTAATTTCCATACTTTACCAAAGACTCATGTCTGAAACTGCTTTCACACTTCTAAATAACCTCTATCATTTTTAGGTATGTTGCCTGTTTTGTATGGATTAGCTTGATGTTCAATTCATTTTGAACATTAGGTAAGATAAATACTTGTATCCTACTGTTTGAATGATATTATTATTACAATACTGTAATTTTAAGTATCAGCATAAAAATTTTGTTTAGTCTGCGAGATGATGGATACATAGGAGCAGCCAGTAAACTGTAAAGACTGTACACAATTCACCTTATGTTCAATTAGCTTCATGATCTCTTAAACTGAAACAAAATTAAAGTTTCGTCCTTACAAAATCATGACAAAATCCTACTTACAAGCTCCACTTCTTCTTCGGGCATCACAGCATCCCTGTACAAGTCTTTCCTCTTAGGGCGGGTGATGTTTTTTGGTTCAAATCTGGGTTGATATATAGCAGCTTCTGGTGAATGATTTTTGGCTTCTTCATAGGTCGGTGGTGGAGACATGGGAAGTTCATAGACAGGAGGGAGGCAGTCTGATGGTGAAAAGGTACTTTCTAGTTCAAGTACCTCACCAGATACTGGGTTACTTTCGGGTTCAGGTATGCCTTCAGATGATGAGGAACTTTCTGGCTGCTCTTCTTCTCCCGGTGGAAAAACTGAAAAAACCAAATGGTTACTTTTATGTGACCTGTGACCAAATTGACACTGATTCGGAGTTTGATACAATGCTTCCCCCCCCCCCAACCAAGGTGAGATGCAATTACTGAATGCGTAAAAATCAAGTTACTTTTCATTCAACCAGAACCATGCTCTTTAACCTTCCTCCATGAAATATCTTAGGTTTCTTAAATCAGCAGAAATCCTGTGCACTCTGGTATAATCCTGCGAGACTTAAATAGTCTCAGAGGAAATCTGAAAAATGACATGATATCAATTATCCCATTCTGTACAAATATGACTTCTCTGTTTGATAGTTTTCTAAACAAAGTAAAAACAGCCTAAATTTTAAGTTGTTAAAATGTTACATTGTGTACTTTATTGACAGTTTTTTATACTTTTTAAAAAGTTGAAGTTACTGAAGTACTGTCAAAGTACAGATACATAGCACATGTAAGCTGACAAAGCGATGCTAGTTATAATTATCATGAAATGAAACCTAGAATCTATCTGAGATATTCCCATGTCTCATCCTCTGTTTGTATTTAAATAAAATCCATTAAGAGAGTGAGTTTGGTCCCCAAGTAGATTTACCCCTTAATCAAACCATCAGAAATGGTCTATTACTTCCAAGAAATTTGTGACCTTTGATGCAGTGACCTTAACCAATAAAATCTTGTTACAATACTTTGATGTAAACAAATGTACCAATCTTTTTGCTTCAGAAGTGACCAAGTATCTTATGATTACCCTGGACTTATCCACCACAGTCTGACCCTTGACTTATCCACCACAGTCTGACCCTTGACTTATCCACCACAGTCTGACCCTTGACTTATCCACCACAGTCAGACTTATCCACCACAGTCTGACCCTTGACTTATCCACCACAGTCTGACCCTTGACTTATCCACCACAGTCTGACCCTTGACTTATCCACCACAGTCAGACTTATCCACCACAGTCTGACCCTTGATTTATCCACCACAGTCTGACCCTTGACTTATCCACCACAGTCAGACTTATCCTCCACAGTCTGACCCTTGACTTATCCACTACAATCTGACCCTGGACTTATCCACCACAGTCTGACCCTTGACTTATCCACCACAGTCTGACCCTTGACTTATCCACCACAGTCAGACTTATCTTCCACAGTCTGACCCTTGACTTATCCACTACAATCTGACCCTTGACTTATCCACCACAGTCTGACCCTTGACTTATCCACCACAGTCTGACCCTTGACTTATCCACCACAGTCTGACCCTTGACTTATCCACCACAGTCTGACCCTTGACTTATCCACCACAGTCAGACTTATCCTCCACAGTCTGACCCTTGACTTATCCACTACAATCTGACCCTTGACTTATCCACCAGTCTGACCCTTGACTTATCCACCACAGTCTGACCCTTGACTTATCCACCACAGTCTGACCCTTGACTTATCCACCACAGTCTGACCCTTGACTTATCCACCACAGTTTGACCCTTGACTTATCCACCACAGTCAGACTTATCCACCACAGTCTGACCCTTGACTTATCCACCACAGTCAGACTTATCCACCACAGTCTGACCCTTGACTTATCCACCACAGTCTGACCCTTGACTTATCCACCACAGTCTGACTCTTGACTTATCCACCACAGTCAGATTTATCCTCCACAGTCTTACCCTTGACTTATCCACCACAGTCAGACCCTTGACTTATCCACCACAGTCAGACTTATCCACCACAGTCTGACCCTTGACTTATCCACCACAGTCAGACTTATCCTCCACAGTCTGACCCTTGACTTATCCACCACAGTCAGACTCATCGTCCACAGTCAGACCCTTGACTTATCCACCACAGTCAGACCATTGACTTATCCACCACAGTTAGACCCTTGACTTATCCACCAAAGTCTGACCCTTAACTTATCCACCACAGTCTGACCCTTGACTTATCCACCACAGTCAGGCTTATCCACCACAGTCTGACCCTTGACTTATCCACCACAGTCTGACCCTTGACTTATCCACCACAGTCAGACCCTTGACTTATCCACCACAGTCAGACCCTTGACTTATCCACCAAAGTCTGACCCTTAACTTATCCACCACAGTCTGACCCTTGACTTATCCACCACAGTCTGACCCTTGACTTATCCACCACAGTCAGGCTTATCCACCACAGTCTGACCCTTGACTTATCCACCACAGTCTGACCCTTGACTTATCCACCACAGTCAGACCTTTGACTTATCCACCACAGTCAGACTTATCCTCCACAGTCTGACCCTTGACTTATCCACCAGTCTGACCCTTGACTTATCCACCACAGTGTGACACTTGACTTATCCACCACAGTCAGACCCTTGACTTATCCACCACAGTCTGACCCTTGACTTATCCACCACAGTCTGACCCTTGACTTATCCACCAAAGTCTGACCCTTGACTTATCCACCACAGTCAGACCCTTGACTTATCCACCACAGTCTGAACTTTGGCTTATCAGCCACAGTCAGACCATTGACTTATCCACCACAGTCACACCCTTGACTCATCCACAAATGCCTGACTTTTGACTTATCCACCACAGTCTGACCCTTGACTTATCCACCACAGTCTGACCCTTGACTTATCCACCACAGTCAGACCCTTGACTTATCCACTACAGTCACACCCTTGACTCATCCACAAATGCCTGACTTTTGACTTATCCACCACAGTCTGACCCTTGACTTATCCACCACAGTCTGACCCTTGACTTATCCACCAGTCTGAACTTTGGCTTATCAGCCACATGACCCATGGGTAATTATGTTTTGATATTCAAGGTCCAATGAAAAAAATATATATAACAGACTTCTAATTACTTAACAATTGGACGCTCTGTAATCCTGAATTAAAATGTGTTTCAACTTGATCTTATATCCCAACGTTAATTATATTTTAATGCCTTAAATTCAGATGACTTGTCTGTAAATGCTATAAAAATGACCCTTTGAATTCAAGAATTTCTTACAGGAGTTTCTATCTGAAAATGTCAACAACTTAAAAGATTATCAATATATGTCTAAAACATACTTTTCTAGCTTCACTCTTGAAAAATTGGCTTTATCAGTCGATCAATATTTCCAAAACACATTCTGAATATAAATTTGTCTTCTTAAAATACCCTAAAAGAGTTTTTTTCATGCTGAGAGACAAAATGGAGTGATTATATTTTAAGAAATACATGAGGAAGCCATAATGTATTCCAATAAATGAATTGAATGTAAATATCTGAAAAATAATGGCTAATAAGATTAGTATAAATATGTATAATTGTTAACTCAGAATAATAAGTATTAACAGTCATGCATTTACAACCTTTTCCTTATAATGTGAATTATGTAGGTGCAGCACATGCATATTGTGCAACAAAGTAAAAAAAATTCTGAAATTATCTAAATATTTGAAATTTGTCTTAGGAAACCTCCTTCAATAAATGAAATATGATAAGTAAATGTTCTATATCGGTAAATACTGACCTCTGTCTAAAGTTTCTTGATAAAATCTGTGAGGTAAGGTTCTATATCAGTAAATATTGACCTCTGTCTAAAGTTTCCTGCTAAAATCTGTGAGGTAAGGTTCTATATCAGTAAATATTGAACTCTATCTAAAGTTTCCTGATAAAATCTGTGAGGTAAGGTTCTATATCAGTAAATATTGACCTCTGTCTAAAGTTTCCTGCTAAAATCTGTGAGGTAAGGTTCTATATCAGTAAATATTGAACTCTATCTAAAGTTTCCTGATAAAATCTGTGAGGTAAGGTTCTATATCAGTAAATATTGACCTCTGTCTAAAGTTTCCTGCTAAAATCTGTGAGGTAAGGTTCTATATCAGTAAATATTGAACTCTATCTAAAGTTTCCTGATAAAATCTGTGAGGTAAGGTTCTATATCAGTAAATATTGACCTCTGTCTAAAGTTTCTTGACTAAAGGCAGCTGGTATAGATCGTGCCCTCCTTTGTCTTTCTTCTGTCTTTGGATTAACAGTTGTCTTCATGCGCTTTACAGAAGCTACAACAGTCACACATATATAAGCATAACATGCAACAAATAAGCATACAGTCAGATTTCAAACAAACATTCTGATTACTTCATACATGAAACACCATGAAACACTTACTATATCAGTGATGAAAAAGTAAATCCAAGTTAGAAAAATTATTTTTGTGTCTTTTTACATATATATTAAGATCATCTTATAGAGTTAATATATTGTCATATGTAGAAACCTGACATTTAATTTGAGTTCTAATTTCAATAGATAAAATTTTTTCTTACAATAAATTTTGTTTTTACCTTAAATTCAGATGACCTGTATATAAATGCTATAAAAATGACCCCCTAAGTTTAGGGATTTCTTACATGGGTTTATATCTGAAAATGTCCACAACTTAAAAGATTATCAATTTAAACATCTCACAAGTTTTTTACAAACATACTATTCTTGCTTCACTCTTGAAAAATTGTTAAAATCAAATAAAAATTTCTTCAAGAAATGATATTGAATTAAATGGCTCTGTCTGCAGTCTATCTTATAGCTTTGTCAGTCAATCAAAACACATTATGAATATAAATTATTCTACATAAAATATATTAGGAAAAGTTTTTCAAACTGAGAGATAAAATGAAACAAATGTTTTCATAGATATATGAAGAACCAGAAATGAATCCAGATAAATAAATGGAATGTAGATATCTGAAAAAATGGCAATTAAGGTTAGAATAGATATGCTTAATTGATAACATGGAACAATAAATACCTATCATTATGCATTTCCAACCTTTCCCTTATAATGTGAATGATACAGGTGCAGTATATGCATATTGTGCAAGATGGTCCTCTGGCAATGCAGAATGAGTTTAATACAGAAGCCTAGAGAAGAGCCTTATGGTTGGTACAGCAGAAGATTACACTACCAGTAAATTCATTGCCCACCTAGTTTTCAGATATCAATACTTCCTGAAAACTAAACCCAGCTATCTAAGGTCAAAACTTTTCTTGACCTACAGTTGAAAGTATGACACACTTTCCTTTTTCCCCAAAACATTTATACTTCAGATGGTTTTTTTATCTCTTGTCTACAGTATCGTTTGTGAAATTTTTATGTCAAGAACATGTTAAGACTAAATCTCCAGTACATGTATTTCAATAAATTATTCAAACATACAGACAGTTACATAAAATATAATTTTGCAGTGAATGATTATCCTAGGCTAATAGCTTAGAAACTAAATTTGTTTTATACCCTGTAGGAAGATTTTTTTTTTTTTTTTGGGGAGGGGGGGAGTCTCTTCTTTTCCAAGTATCACGATCAAGATAGAAAGTAAAAGCATAGATAATAAACAAGCATGTATCACTAGCAATCCTTTGAACATCTTGGTGCCAACCTTTCTAAGTCTGAATTTTTATACGATTTCTTATATTTCTCTGTGGTCTTTCCTCAATTAAAAACAGGGATGTGATGGCTCAGTCTGTTAAGAGTGCTGGCCTACCTAATCTCTGGTGAAGATCTGAGGTGCTTCATTCAACCTCCCTACCTGTAGTGATTTGTGTTTCTTAGGAAGCTGAGTAAGAGACATGTCTGTGCTGCGATGGTTGTGTCCTTTTGAGCAAGAATCTATACCCTAATTGCTCAGAATGACATGTGATGGGCCTCCTGTATGTTGTTTGCTGCTAAGGTCGCCATCAGTTCCTAAAAGGACACCTTGTCTCAAAATGACCCTGTTCACAGGGTAATAAACCCAACAACAGATATAACCTGTTGTATTTACAAAGAGAGGTTATCATTCAGCTTACTGACAAGTGATTCAAATATCACTAAACTCCGACAAAGTATATTTTCTATAGCAAAACTAGAGCAACCTACTGATTACACTAGAGAATGGTTGCTCCAGTACCCTCGGACAAATAGTGATAACAAATTTTTAATTTCACTTTTTTAATTCTATCTATATTTTTAAATCATTCTCAAACTTTATTTGCAAATCTTGGAAGTGAGAGAAATCTGTGTGTGAAATTTAAGATAGATCCATATGCACCTGTTGAAAAACTGTGACAACAATACTCAAATGTTAAAAAGATGAAGCAATCTTTATCATTCAGTCGTTTCCAATTTTAAGAGAACCTCGCTGAACCGAAAAATGAATTCTGACTTCATTACCATGAAAATTTTAGAGATTAGTATAGTTTTCAAAATCCAAGATAGTTCTCTGTTCTTCCAATCAGAATTAAATATCATGTTTTTAAAGAGCTACTTCAATGTGAAATTTACAAAAGCTCTGCCCAGTATCCAGTCCTTTCTATGAAAAAGAAGTAATCTGATATTACTTTCAGCATCCTCTGATCAGTCTCCAAATGACTACAACTAGGGACTTTGGGAAACATACATATGAAATTTGTTAGTCTGAATTATTCTGATGTTCTATCCACTTTTATATAGCATTATAGAATCAATCAATAATGACAGAATGTCAGAATAATTCTGACAAGAAACTCAAACGACATAAATACCATAAAATATTTGAGGACAGACCACAGATGAAAGGCAATTTGGACACTCTACAACCTGGAAATGTTTGTCAAACAACAAAGCTATAAAAAGTAAATATTCTTACCTGATGGTATACCAACTAATAGAAAAATGAAAATTGGGCACCTTGATACTTGTGAGAATGCAAAAATTACATAAAACAAGTGATAATGAAAAGATAACATAAAACTTGCAATGATGAAAATATGGACTAACTTGTGATGATGACAAGATGGACTAACTTGCAATGATGAAAATATGGACTAACTTGTGATGATGAAAAGATGGACTAACGTGTGATGATGAAAATATGGACAACCTTGTGATGATGAAAATACGGACTAACTTGCAATGATGAAAATATGGACTAACTTGTGATGATGAAAATATGGACTAACTTGTGATGATGAAAAGATGGACTAACTTGTGATGATGAAAATATGGACTAACTTGTAATGAGGAAAAGATGGACTTACTTGTGATGATGAAAGACAGAATAAATTGTGATGATGAAAGGATGGACTAACTTGTGATGATGAAGACAGAATAAATTGTGATGATGAAAAGATGGACTAACTTATGATAAAAATATGTACTAACTTGTGATGATGAAAAGATGGACTAACTCATGATGATGAAAATATGGACTAACTTGCAATGATGAAAATATGGACTAACTTGTGATGATGAAAATATGGACTAACTTGTGATGATGAAAAAATGGACTAACTTGTGATGATGAAAATATGGACTAACTTGTAATGAGGAAAAGATGGACTTACTTGTGATGATGAAAGACAGAATAAATTGTGATGATGAAAGGATGGACTAACTTGTGATGATGAAGACAGAATAAATTGTGATGATGAAAAGATGGACTAACTTGCAATGATGAAAATATGGACTAACTTGCAATGATGAAAAGATGGACTAACTCATGATGATGAAAATATGGACTAACTTGCAATGATGAAAATATGGACTAACTTGTGATGATGAAAATATGGACTAACTTGCAATGATGAAAATATGGACTAACTTGCAATGATGAAAATATGGACTAACTTGCAATGATGAAAATATGGACTAACTTGTGATGATGAAAATATGGACTAACTTGTGATGATGAAAAAATGGACTAACTTGTGATGATGAAAATATGGACTAACTTGTGATGATGAAAAGATGGACTAACTTGTGATGATGAAAATATGGACTAACTTGTAATGATGAAAAGATGGACTAACTTGTGATGATGAAAAGATGGACTAACTTGTGATGATGAAAATATGGACTAACTTGTAATGATGAAAAGATGGACTAACTTGTGATGATGAAGGACAGAATAAATTGTGATGATGAAAATATGGACTAACTTGTGATGATGAAGACAGAATAAATTGTGATATGGACTAACTTATGATAAAAATATGGACTAACTTGTGATGATGAAAATATGGACTAACTTGTGATGATGAAAATATGGACTAACTTGTGATGATGAAAAGATGGACTAACTTGTGATGATGAAAATATGGACTAACTTGTGATGAAAATATGGACTAACTTGTGATGATGAAAATATGGACCAACTTGTGATGATGAAAAGATGGACTAACTAACTAGTGATGATAAAAAAATTGACTAACTTAGGATGATGAACGATGGATTAACATAAAATTAATGATGGTAAAAAGTGGAATAATATAAAAGGTATAATGATGAATGCAGGCTACATATAAAACTAGTGATGATTTATGATGGGCCAACTCGTCCAAAGATTCTGCTAACTATAAGTAAACTAGGCTATTTTCTTTTAGTAAATTAAATATTTCAGACACAGATTACTAAACTATTCAAAATCAATTTTAAGCTAGAACCAACAACAATTTGTGTTTCAGACTTTGTGGGTTTTAAATTGACTAATCCATAATTAAATATTGATCTGGAAGGATTTCTCACCTATAGTGTCATCTATAAGAGTGGTCCATTTTTTTGATACATGTGGCATCATCACAATAGGCCCCTGATCGTCATGAACCTGCAGGGCTTGTTGTTGCTGTAAAACCTTTCTAACCATATCCCGAAAATTCTTCCGTTCCGTGCAAGCCTGATCATCTTCATCATCTTATGGCAATTTAATTAAAACATTTTGACATTTTCTGGGTTTTAAAGTAATACTATTCAGTAGTATCGATACCGGATATCAATTTTGCTGAAAATTTGAAACATTTATTGACCTAAAACTTAAAATGTCTCCACCCTTTTAATTTATTTTACTACATCATTTGTGAATAAATCTGACTGATTTCAAGGAACCATTTTTTCTTGTTATTAATTTTAGACTAAGAGCACATAATGGATGATTTCTCCAAGCAGACTATGATCTTGAAAAGTCTTTCCACGCTTTTACTAAAATTCATCATTGACTATTGTGTTTGTAGTGACTACAGAGAAATTTCTGGTGTTGTGGCTGGTTGGAAAAAAATTCTCAAAAAAAAAGAAAAAACATTGTGAGATCATATTTCATATATATTGATATCAAAGAATGTAATATGCAACAACAAGCAAAGGCAATATATATGCACATGCATATATACGGGGACATACCATGCACATATATATATATATATATATATGAAATAAAGGAGAAATCAATATCAGTTTGTTTTCCAATCCCAAATATACAGACACACAGATATACAAATGATTAATTAAATAGATATTGTTTAAGCATATTAATTTGGCTTTATTTAAGTAAACAAGAATTAACCTGACAGTGTTTTGGAATTAGCTGTATTAATCACATATTTATCAAGATAAACTGTTTTATATTGGGTTTCATTTGTAACACAAGAATCTGTAATAGTATGAGCAAAATGTCAGTTTTTTTTAAACACTGCAAGATTTTCCTTATTCTAAAATTAGCTGTAACAACAACAGAAATAATTAAAAAGAAACAAAAATCAGCTTTTTAAGAGAATTTTCAAAAAATTTCTTTTCCATTGATCAGCGATATCAGAAACATTCGAAATAAGACAAAATTATTTAGTTTTTAGGGTAATGCTATTGTTTATGACTTCATTTTGCAACATTTTGAATTTTATTAAATTTAACATCATGCAAACAATCACAATAGCATCCAATCTCCTATACTAGTAAAAACCCTAGTAAGTCTAGCTTGATTAGTCAATCACAGGCCCTGGGTTCATCCCCTACGGAAACACTGAAATGAATGATGACCTCTGTAACATCACTTACTTTCCAGACCTTCCACCCAGCCTTTTGGATCATTTTTTTCCGCCATTGTTGTTCAGTAGATTCTAGCTCCAGTTAACCTTATTTTCTAATCTACAAAAGAATAACAATAAAGAGTAAATACAGGTGTAGCTAAAAGTTATGATATTTTACTGATCTGATTTAAGGTTTTCTTCCAAGAACTTAGGTTTCCTTTTACATGTAGATCTTCATGATGCTCAGTGTTTTAATCAATAAATTATCAAGTGAATTTTTTGCCTTATTTTACAGCCAATGAAAGACTGTTTCCCCTAGGCAAAATGTGTGTTACTCTCCAAAAATGAAACAAAAAATGTCATGATGGTTAACATTGTTCCTAACTTATTTCAATGAGGACTTTTACAAGTACATTTTGTGGAGAAGTGAACTTGTCAATACCTTCAGCATGATTCCATCTGATTTAGCTCCAAGGCGTTTTGGTAAACACATGCACATGAATGCATGCTGTAACATATTGAAAAAATGCCTGCTCTGTTGGTGACATTATCACATCTTATTTGTATATCAAGTGATGCATGATATACTAACCTAAACATCATGGGCTTGATGATTAAAGATAATTGTAACCCTGGTAAAATACTAGCCGCAATATACCACTCGGCTAGAGAGAACTTCTCTTTAGCTCGATTGGTTGATTAAAGATAAGGCATTAAAATGAATAATGACCTCTCTTACATTGGCGCCCATGTAGGGACCCGGGATTAGTACTTAGCCATGCCCCATCGGCATCGCTGTGACCCCTGGAAACTCGAGGACGAGTTCTTTCCTGGAGGGGGAGTATGTAACCCTGGTAAAATACTAGCCGCAATATACCACTCGGCTAGAGAGAACTTCTCTTTAGCTCGATTGGTTGAGCGTCAGACTAGTAAGCCAGGGGTCCCGGGTTCGATTCCTAGCAGAGGCATTAAAATGAATAATGACCTCTCTTACATAATGAAGATCATCAAGCCCATGTGACAGATAGAGAAATTTTTGACAGGTTTTAAAAGCACCAGTCATTTATACTGACAGAATATAACTGGATATTTTGATTTTTTTTTCTATACCATTTGGAGGCGCAGATATTTTTTACACTTCGTGGCGAGCTATCAACTCTTAACTCTATACCAGAACACAAGTGGCACTCATTGTCAGGTATGATTGATAAGGTTTGGCTATATCATAGAAAAACGAAAACAGATCTATAACATTAAATGACCATTCTCATTTACGCTACAATAGGCTACAGTACCTGAGTGCTGCAAGCAGTACAAGCTTAAGTTTACTAAACCATTGCTGACTTTAATCTGAATAATTCCCTGTACATGGTCTTCTCGATCTTCTAACACCAGACTTCAGAGTTAAACATTTCCTACATTCTACAGTACATTGTTGATGCGTGTTGCAGAGAAAATCGTAAGCGCTACCCAGACATTTTGACATTTCGCAATGGCCATAGCCAGAGAACATGGGTTGCCAAAATGTGGTTCGCTGTACGTCTTTTCCAATTAGTGTTGAATTACTTTACCCTTCGCACAAATGAATAAAGAAATTACCGAGCTCATGCTGGTGTTGAACTTCCCCGCTAGAAGGTTCTCTTTTCACCAATGTTTACACTCTACCATTTCTGATGACCGAGAGTGTTGAATGCACATCAGTGTAAATAACTCTGCGTAGTTAGCAAAGTGATTTATCGGTCGTCTTGGCCTGATACAGTGTATATTACTTGCGCAAGTCGTATTTTTGTCAATGGCCCAAATAACTAATTAAAGACAGATACTTTGTACAAAATGAAATATTAGTAAAAGCACAGCACTAAAAACAAAAAGAAAGGAGAAAGTTGACAAAATTGCAGGCATTTAAAATGCAGTCTTTCCTCTTTGTATAGATGTAACAAGTGCAGGAATGATACCTAGTGTAAATCAATCTCCTGATTTTCTAAGAAGTATTCAATTCTCTGTGGTTCATTGTTCCGCATCCAGACTTAGAGGGTAGGTATAAGTATACATTTTTTACCAACCAAACTGTCTTGCTAGTTAGAAAATTACTGCTGAAAATAAGCAAGTTTACCGAGGCTGATAAGCTATATCGCAACTTTATGGATGAACATGTAAAATATATTCAGCGGAGAAAACGGAATTCAGCGGAAAGGAGGATATATATATTGCATTGACAAGTACAAAGAATTGTAGGACCTTCCTGGAAGTGAACCAGCCACCTGGAAAAAGACCGTTCCGGGGGCCTCAAAAGAAACGAATATTTACTTAATAATAATATTGTTATTACAGTCTTAACGGCACGGTAACACACAAAAGGTCATTGGAGTCATCAGAGACGTATATATTACATGTCTCTAATGGAATAGAATTTTCAATATGAGATCGAAAATCAAATTGTCCAACCACTGACATACCCAGGTCATTTTCAATTTCAGTATTTTAAGAATTTTGGTCCTATGAGTGGCATCTTTTATTTTCCTCTCTGGTTCGTTTTATGTACAGTTATCTACATGGAGAGGGGAAGGGGGTAAACGGATGTATCGTTAATTTGGAAAACGCAAATTCCAATAGCGACGAAAAGTAGCTAAACAGTTCCTGTTTCTGTAGTTGGTTAATATTGTTGGGAAAACTTGTTTACTGCGTTCATATCGGCTTTTCGGCCTCTTTTATACTCTACTACACAGTATTTAGTCATTGTTTTCTTTGCATTTCTCTATATTATTGCCCCTGATGTGATCATTTATCCATTTGTTGTTTCCGTTTGAACGTCTTCTATGACAACTTGGTCCATGATGCAAAAACCTACCAAACTGTCGACACACATTTCATTCAAGTTGTACGAGTTATTTGTAAAGCTATCAAGATTACAACGGTAGACCATGTATGTTCTATACCACTGAAAGGATAAGTAGTATACATAAACAAGGAAACGCCATCGTATCATATCATAGGACATGATTCTTCGTCAATATATCCCTGACGTGAAAGCAGACGACTCTTCAACATCCGGTAGACTGTCCACATTCATATATCGTTTGTTTGAATTTCTTCTTTTTCAATTTTAAATGAAATAACCCTAAATATTTCAAATTGTCCACTTACTTTCACAATTTAAATCAAAATATATCAAAACATCTAATATGTATTGTTAAGAACGGGTTTTTATAGTAACATTAAAATCAGGACAATAAAGTCAATAAACACGGTCCTGGCGTAGGTAACGTTTAAATCCTTCACTAGCGCATAGCAGGAAACAGGAAATAAACACAAAAGCGTCTGAATGATAAAGACTCGCATACACATATCTCTAACCACTCCATCTATTTATCTGTCCGCATTCTGCCACAGTAGATATTTGGTTTCTAATATCAGCTCTAAATATATATAAAATGATTGAAACGACCAGAAGAATAATTTGTTATTGTTGCAACCACCGAAGACAAGAAATGAAATGACGTAGATTATATCACGTGACAACGTGTCATAACATGGTGGAGTTGGTAGGGACGCGTTTGACATTTTTTCCACTGTGAGAGGCTTAATTTGAATATCGGCTTTATTCTTGGTGTGTTCTTGTGGTAAGTCTTGGTCCTCTCACTCACAAACCCTTGTCATCAATAGGCTAGGAACCAAATCGCTCACTCTCTTCTGCAGTGGAGTTTTTTCCCTTTTAAATAAAACATTTAATCGTCGTAACAGTAATATAACATTTTTGTTAATTTTATCCCTTATATCTTCCCTCCCCCTTTCTCTCTCATAAGTCACAACACAATTGTATGAAAATGTTTGTAAACTATTTCTGTAAGTAAATATACATGTAAAAGGTAAGTATGCCTTCTGATTATGGCTGAGGTATGAATGCAAAGTTATACATTTTTGACACAATGGGTATGTAAAATATACATTATAAATATACATTCACTATTCTCCTATAGATCTATATATATGTTTTACTAATAACCCAATACTGTTCAGAGGATGCATGGTCTCATACCAAGTACATACATTATTGTTTTAATCGGTACTAGTGGTGGTTTGTGTTGTATGTGTGACATTTGGCTAATACAAGTGTGTATGCACTTGGGTTGTCTGTTGGTATGTGTGTGGTGAAAAATAAATTATCTGCTTTGTATGTGAAGAACATAAGGTCAACAAATTTGCTGTAGTTTGAAGATTTATGATGTACAATGTATTGTTATGTGTTTGTGATGATAAAACTGAATAAAAAATAAAAGATAAAAAAAATTTTGTCCCTTGTAAACAATTTTTCTTTTTGCCTTCAATCACGGATAAATATCCCCAACATGAAAAGTAATAAAACAAAAATGTGAAGATCAAAATTGCTTTTTGTACAAAACCTGATTGAATATTAAACTAACCAACTTATTCCAGTGTCTCTAGTCAGAATTCTTCTGAAGTTCTATTGTTTTTTTTTATATATCAGCTGGGATTTTGTCGAATTCAATCTGATATGTTTAGTCGATAGAACGTTAGAATATTTCGGACTACTTAGTATCAGGACTGTTTGTTGACATTCTGTTCAAATAGTCTCCTGTTACATCTATGCCTATTTTACTTATGAAAAATGTCAGCATCGAACTAGAAATAATCCAGTAGTTAAATTTTATGTCAACAATGACCAACTTGATGAACAGATATCGATTTTTTAACAACTAATAAATAAATAATTACATCAAAGTTTCATGAGCAATAAATACATCATGTATGCATGCATTCTTCTGAGCAAAATCTGACATTCATGATTAAAGCATCGTTATTAATAACTTATTTACAATGAGTGGCTTATTCTTAGTGATTTACTAATAATTGTAATATGGATTAATCACTTGAAAGAAATTTAACCAGTTAATCAATGCCAAAATTGTGAAGACTATTAAAAGATGCAGTTTAAAAATGATGTAGAGCTCTATAAGATACAGAGATTAAGTATAATCCATCTATGAATGTGAAAATGTTTATTTAGTTGCTGTTTATAACAAGCACCCATGAAAGACATAAATCAAGTTCAAAACTTGAAAAAAACATTTCATACATTTAGAATACTTTCATGAAACAGTGTCATCCAACTACTTACGATTCCAGTTGAATCAAGACAAATTTTCCTCAACTCGGCTACATTTGATAGTAAATGTTTTATATTTCCCTCATAGCAGACAAACATTTGCAATCTGAGATGTCGACACAGAAGCCAAAGTCCCATGATGATGAATCACTTAACTTTGACAAATTGGAGAAAGAACTGTATGCAGCTGTAGATGCAGACAAGAGATATTGGCGAGAAAATGATGCAAAGTTTCGGGCAGTTGGACAAAAAGTGGAATCTTATGAGGAGTTTCAGTAAGTACAGTTAACGGTTCATACATTGATAAATGCCACTGAAAGTATAAAAATATATGAAGTGACCTCTCAGTTTTTCTTCTTTCCCATTCATATTATTTTAAAAGAAAAATACTACAAAAGGCTCATTGCTCTCAGCAACCAGGAATGTTCAGTTGGTTAAGTAGTAATATAAGTTGTTAAGTATCTTTATGCAGAGCTTGATAGCTGATGATAAAATTGTTTTCCTTAATTACAACCATTGGCGAGGTGTACCCAACTATATTTTCTGTTGGGACATAACAAAGCCAGACATCATCTGTTCATTTGTACCTTACAATAAAATTTGTTGGCCGTGAAATATCATATCTAAGTTTTCACAGATTTCAGTGAACTTGCTGTGTGGTATTTTGATTACACACATTTTTCTAAGATTTTTAGTTTCCTTTTGTCACCATTAGAGACTTGTACAGATATCTCTCCCAGCTTTTTTTAACAATATCATTGAAACATGATAAAATGTCTTATCACAAAATGTATTGTTGTTTTCCTTTGAGTGGGATTTTGATAAAAGTTAGAAGAATTAGTATCCCTGACCTTTTTTATTCTTAATGCTTAGTCTACAATGTATAAGTGATAATCTTATTTAAGCATTTTTTGCACTTTATGTATGTATGACAGTAATTGCTGTTTTTGTATGTTTACATGGCAATTACTGAGTGCACCTATTAATCATAACAAATTGATTATGTTGGTAGTAATCTTTTTGGAAGATCTTTTGCAAATTTTAGCTGGGCTCATTCTCAGTTTTTATTATGACATGGTGCAAGATGCGTTGGATTTCAATATCTTTATGTACTTTTATGAAACATTTTTATTAGTCCCTGCTGGTGAAACCAGAGGGGACTAAAGTTCTTGTCTCTGTCTGTCTGTCTGTCAGTCTGTCCGGATGTTGGTTTCCAGATGATAACTTGGGAAAAGATTGATGGATTAGAATGAAACATCTGATGTTAGATTATGAGATAATACAGAGTGGGATTGAGTTTGGGGTCGACAGGTCAGCTACAAAGGTCATTGTTGCTAAAAATAGATAATTTTTCATCAAAGTTTGGTTTCCAAATGATAACTTCAGAAAGGATTAATGGATTTGGTTGAAACTTTATACAATATTTGCATATTAGGTAATTGGATTGAGATTGGTATGGAAAGGTCAACTACGAAAGTCACTGTTACTGAAAATAGATCATTTTTTCAAATTTTAGTTTCCAGATGATTACTTCATAAAGGATTGATGGATTTGGTTGAAACTTCATAAAATGTAAGCTTATGAGAAAATATACAGTGGAATTATGTTTAGGGTCAAAAGATCAACTACTAAGGTCACAGAAAACAGACTTTTATCATCAAATTTTGGTTTCCAGATAATAACTTCAGAAAGCATTGATGGATTTGGTTGAAACTTTATAAAATGTAGCTTTTGAAGTATTATAGAGTGGATTTGAGTTTGAGGTCAAAAAGTCAATACGAAGGTCACTGTTACTAAAAATAGACTTTTATCATCATCTTCTGGCTCTCAGATGATAACTTGTGATAGGGTTGACTGTATTGAAACTTGATACAATCAAAAATGATTAAAACAAATATAGGGTGGAATTGAGCTAGAGGTCAAAAGCTCAACTGTTAAGACTGTGAAAGTCACTACAATAGACATTTATCACTATTATTAAGTAGTGAACTTAGCAATGTTCAAGGTCACTGTGTCAAAAGGTCAAGGTCAAATTTTACATATTTTCATGCTTAATTTACCCTGAAAGGGCAGACACATAACCAGGTCCTTTCTGATATGTCAGTGTTATAGTTTGTTTTCCAGATAATCACTTAATTGAATTAGAGATGACAAACTTGATTAGAACTACATATCTAGCATAAGGAAGTACATATAAAGTGATTTTCCTGTGTTACTTTCAGCTTTTTGTGACCTTCCCGTCAAGATACTGGTTTTTGGAGGGATGACTTTCAGTTGTTAAAATGAGATATTTGTTCATTGCTATAAAGGTCTATGTTGCTTAGAAAATTTGATTAACGACTGGGAACAAGTTTTGTGTGCAACACTGACTACAAGCTTGTGATATGATATTGGAGAGATGTAAATGATCCACTTCATGATACTCTTGTTTCTTTTTGTGCGAAAGAAACCACCAGTATTTTTAATATATATATGACAGTCTTCATTTCTAATATTACAGAGACATTGTCAAAGCATCTCATCTAAAACCATTAGAAAAGGGAGATAACCTCAACAATATTGTGTTTGATCAGCCATGGAATTCACATGCAATTAAAATGAAGAATGCAGCACCGCTCAAATCAACAGGAAGCAATCTTCACAAGGTTTGTTAATCTTCATGTACTCAACCACAAAAAAGGCATTGATTGCAAATCACTCAAATGAGTCAAACTGCAACCTGATACCACTTTTAGTGATGAATTTTCTCTTATAGCAGAAAATGAGTTTTATAAGTTACTGGTGTTCCTATGTCGAGCAGACTTGTGAAAGTCAACACAAATAAAACTGGATTTAACTTTATAAAGTTTCTTAGGTCAAGGTCACGATGTGAACTTACAAATTTCTCTGCTAATGATAACCCAACCACTGCTTTGGTTAGGCACTGATGACATGGAGCTCTGGAGCCTTCTGTTGTCAGCATCGTCAGGTGGATTCCAACCATCAATGGCCGTTTCGTTCACCATTACTCTATAACATAAACCCTGAATGCATAAAAAAAATCATCATTCTAGCGACTCCTTTTCACAACCAGTTTTGTGACATCACTTATGACGATCTTATCCTTATTGTATGTTCCATGTTTCTAGGTGGAGGAGTTACTGGAATAATATAATCCGATCATTATTATTATCATGCCTGGCTCAATTAGTTTAGTGCTAGTTCTCTATTCAAGCAGGGACAGCTTTCAGTAAATTTTTTTATTATGGAAATAATTTCAATAATGAATTATCGTTTTTCATTTCAGACTGACAATTTACCTAAAAATGGACAAGAATTTGCAAGAGACTGGCGACGACACCACAAAACAGTAGAGGGTCAATATGACTTTCTGCTAAGCATTGGAGGAGCACGTCTAGAAGAAATCTTTAAAACTGAGATCAGCTTTGGATTATTGGGCGATATTTTAACAGCTCTGTGTAGTGGATTTTCTAACTCGGACTCGACTGCTATTCTTGCAATTGTTGAGGGATTATCTTCAGCCAACAGATTTTCCCTTTCTGTGCAGTTTTTGAGTTCAAAAGAAAAACAAGTGTGTTCAGACTTATTTCAGAAACTTCAGCTCTCGATTGAAAGTCAAACGGAAGCTGATGGAAAACATATTCAAGATCGTTTAAAAGAGTTAGAGAAAATATATGAGTTGAAATCAAAATAAAGATAAAAATACTTTAATTTATTATTTTTTTTTATCCTAAAAAAACTATATGATTTGATCTTAAAATAAAGATGTAGATCCATAAATATTTATTCAACAGTAGGTAAAACAATCAAATATATCTATTTCTTACTTCTACCTGTGTAATACTAGTCTTCTAAGGGCAAAACACCGAGGTTTGCTGGTTTTTTTTTATTACACACACATCCATGCAATACAGGCATGTATGTATTGAACTGTAACGTGTCCCTTCCCAATTGATGCCATCGTATGATACAATGTATACACGTGTGTATAAATAGTTATTAAAGCAACTTTATAATTTCAAGTGAGGAATATCAATCACGACAGCATCAGACGAGTTCTTTAGATTTATTACTAACTGTCAACTGTGTTTCGCCCTCTCTGGGCTTCTTCAGGACCACTTTAGATTTATATCTAGCAGTCGCCCTCCCTGGGCTTCATCAGGACCACTTTAGATTTATTACTAACAGTCATTCTGTTTCGCCCTCTCTGGGCTTCATCAGGACCCTTTTAGATTTATTACTTACCATCAATCGGTTATGCCCTCTCTGGTCTTCATCAGGACATCTTTAGATTTATTACCAACTGTTAACCGGTTTCGCTCTCTTTGGCTTCATCAGGACCACTTTAGATTTATTACTAACTGTCAATCCGTTTCACTCTCTCTGGGCTTCATCAGGACCACTTTATTACTAACTGATTTATTCTCTCTGGGCTTCATCACAGTTTATTACTAACTGTCTATCTCTCTGGGCTTCATCCCTCTCTGGGCTTCATCAGGACATCTTTAGATTTATTACTAACTGTCAATCCGTTTCACTCTCTCTGGGCTTCATCAGGACATCTTTAGATTTATTACTAACTGTCAATCCGTTTCGCCCTCTACTTTATATTATGTTTTTCTATGGCAGACTTTGTCAAATCTAAGTATGGAGAATTCATTTTTGATGTCAACTTGTTGATTAACTGTATAATAAAACAAGAGTATCAGTGAATCTAATGAATGCTTCCCGAAAACGATTTTATTGACAAAAAATTTCAACAAGAGGGTCAGCGGCCTTGACAGTCACCTGAGATAAGCAATGTTAATTATAAAAGTTAATGGGTAAGAAGCTTTCAAGCATCATGAAAAGGAAATTGTGACATTGGTGATAGTAATCCAGTGTCAATACATCCATACCATCAATACTCTTCATCCTATACTGATAATTCTTACAAAGTTATTTCCACTGAGAAATATACAATGTTATGCAAAAAACTGCAATTTTTCTTTAAAATTTAAGAGTAAAGTTAACTTCCTCCCCAGGAAGAAATGTGAGAGCCATTTTGGTGAAGCACCTAAAGATACTTCCATTCATGAGAAGTATTTCATTCTACCATACCTGGGTGCTGAAATAGATTTTTGGAAATTTAAGTCAATTTCACCCCCTTTTAGCTCCACCCATCTGCCCCTGGAGGTCACCAGGATCAATATGGGTATACCAATAAGCTTATCATTTGGTCATAATTCTAAATGTTTCAAATGGAAATTAAACAAATCATATGATTTATCATCATTGGTAGTACATTGTTGTTCATATTTTTTCAAAATTTCGTGAGAAATGAGAGATAAACCGTATGTTGGGGAGGACAATGGGATATTTAACCCTTGAGATCACAAAGAGTAGTAAAACCCTACCCTTCATCCCATCACATGAAAGTGTTACAGAATTGTGTGTAGCTAGTTTGTTTGGACAACAGCTTGTCCTGTCCATTTATTAGTATTGCATAGACATATATGTACAGATGATTACTGAACTCTTTTGTTGTCATGTGTTGAATGATAGAATTTGACAAGCTTTCATTAGTCATGTAATTCAAATTCGACTTTCTCTATTTTCATGAAATTTGGTCTATATCATGCACGGAGCCATTGAATTTGCCAAACACCAATTTTATTAAACTTAAACACGACCAAAGGACCCGAGCAGTGATGTATGCCACAAGTTTTTCTTAAGAAATAATCTTTAACCTCAGTCATATCTTATCACAACTGTCCCATTACATATCAAGGATATAAGCATGAGGGAATCTTGCTTACTTCCAAACTCAGTCTTTGATTCTTGATTCAATAACCAGAAAGATTCTCACTAACCTGGTTAAAATAACTTTAACCACGACAAAGATGACAAATCAATCAAAATTTGGTCAATGGTTTAATGAGACATGGACAATATTATCATGACAAGAATTCTGTTTTCATACAGTATAACTGCCTGTAGATCGTACTCTCTCTCACACAAAACACGATCGAAAGAAAGACAGGAGATTTACAGAAAGCAAAATGTCCAGAAAGTTTAAAACAGTACACGTTGATTGATGAAAGTGACTTTTTAAATCCAGCATTCAACCGTCTCAAGCTACCAATGTAAAGTAAGTAGTCACAAAATATACTAATGAGATGAAATACAGCAAACATGGGATGGTAATGAAACATGAAGTTGATCACAGACAATCATTTCTCACAATCAAAACAGATTTAAAACTAAAAACAGATGATAAATATACTTTAAACTTACATTTTTTATGATGTACTAAAAATTGCTAGATACCGTCTGTAAGTTATCAATACAGAAAAGCTCTCCAAAATGTTTCAAATTAAAAAAAAATTTTTTTGTTTCTATTTGGCGACGAAAGCACAGAAAGAAACAATTTACACTTCAATATCAATTCACAGAATTTTGTTCAGTGACAAAAATATGAAACATAAAATGCTACAAGTACATTAGGAGAATCATGATATTTGTACTACCTTTTCATATCATAGTTCGCATGAGATAGCGAATATAGTTGTACAATATCCAGTGTAGTTTGATAAGGGTCTGCCCAAGCAACAATGTTCATATTGTACTCTCTACAGTTACCCTTAATAACAGGAGTATACACTAAAAATTTCAAAGCTGCCCATCTGTTGTGTGATATAGTCTCTTATCATTTCAACTGTAATTTAACCGTCCATAAAAATATGGAGAAATTTCTTCAAACCCTTGCAGACTATCAAATATTTCAATCATACATTTATGTATTACAAATTTAATTCACAAACAAGACACAAAGTATCCCCAGTCGTTGATAAAATTCCTTGTCATTCGTTTAAAATAAATTAATTCTATGATTACAGAATACATATTTTGAGATTCTGCTCTCTTCACAACATACAATAGTGCAGTAGTCATCTTTACAAGAGCTACATCTGTATGTGAACGGACTGCCGCAATGGCAGAACATTGTAACACAAATCAGAAAAGGTCCCGTTTGAACCAGAACAAGTGAGGTTATTCCATACAGATCTTACAAGGATGTCGGGAAAAATCCTAATTTTGTGTGAAATAAGACCTTATCCGAACATTGAAGTCCCAATGCTATGATCTTGTGAGAACACATCAAAGTTCAACCAGTGTTCCAAGTGTTTGTAGGTTCTTAAACCATGCGGCTATGTTCAATCCATGTCGCTGTCATCGTCTTCAAATGTATATTTGACAGCGTTGCGAGCCCTTCCTGTAGTAGCACGTGGGACATACACCTCGTCAGCCATGTCACTTCCATCATCGTCACTGGAAAAGGCCTTCTTCTTGCCCTGTGGAGACCAAATGTCAATGAAACAATATCTTAATAGCACTAAGATACTAAGAAAAATGAGCTTTCCAAACAGGGTACGTTTGATAAAGCTGTAAGCAGTTTGGCTTGAATGCAGTGCACATCACAGCCTTTGATTTGATAATTTACCGTATAATGCTGACTTTAAAAGCAACAAAAAGTCAACTACAAAACAGTGATATATCAGCACAAGATGCCAACGTAAAATGTATTTAAACTAATTACCAATAAGGCTAGAAATGTAGAGTATAAAATTAGACGTTCCTCCTAGTTATTGAGAACAGCTATTGATTTTGAATGATTATACTAAATGGTGTATGGTATCATATCAAAATAGTGAAAAGATAGCGAAAACCGAGTCTTAGCACAAATATTGCGATATATATTGAATCACAATTAATTGTTTCATCTTGATTATAATTATCCTACATTATATATACAGTTGTAAAACCTGTTACAGAAATATGTCCAGCACATTCCTAGACACGTACAGAGAATGTTGCTTTCATGTTTATGAAAACATCTTGGTTAATGTTTACTATTGTATCAGTTCATTATATATCCAGTATTGCTGGTTTTGTACTCGGACCTTTGTAATTTTTATTCTATGTTGAAATGCATGGGTATCAATGTGAACAATTGAGTGCAGAAAAGCTTGAAAATTGATGTCTTAAGAAAGAGGTTTCTAGATACAAATACTGCTATTTCACATATTAGATTTACCTCTGATATTTTTTGTTTCCATAGATGTTTTCAGAAAATCTTGCTCACAGTAAAATCACATTTTTGTGCAGCTAAATTTTTGTGGTTTTTCGAAAACTATTTCATGGACACCTGAGTTTTGGGATAAACATAGCTCTCCTTTTGCCACCAATTTTTTTTCACCATTAGCAGACATATGAATTTGTGGATTAAAATGAAAAATGAAAATAAATCCTGCGGGAAAAATAATGATTTTGCAGTAGGTGTTCATTAGATCTACACATTTATTTCCTTTTAAATTGGTTGATAGAACGTTTCAGAAATTCAAATTAGCTATCATCTTAAGTGAAAAGTTAAAAAAAAGACTCCTATCATGTATTTACAGATAAAATAGAAGTCAATAAAGTATTTGTGATTGTATGAAAGGGGATAACGGGGCAAAGAAAAACCTTCAACAAGAACCCTATATAATTCACTGAAGACAAGTTTTTGAGTGGAGACCCTTGTTATGCAGCTACTATCATTTCTATGCAATTAACATTTATACCTTTGCTGGTTTTTTTGTTGCTTTTTTCTTCTTGGGTACAAATTCATCTCCAGACATATCTGAATCAATATACTTTGCCGGTCTCTTATTCACTGGCTTTTTCTTGGGCTTGTCCTCATCATCAGAGTCCACAGATTTCTTAGCTTTAGGTTTCCTGGCTTTCTTCTCTTTTGGAGGTCCATCTATAATACAAAAACCTAAACTGGAGCTACTTGTCATAATGCCTGAATAGTTACATTTCATATGAGAACCAAATTTAAGATCCTTTTCATTATATAAACAAGGATTTTCGCAAACATTATAGAAAATGTACTTTTCCGTCACATTTTGGAGTCATCTTGATTCTAAAATGTCAATCCTCATTGTGACTTCATAATGCATTCAGTGAAAATGTGTCTTATTTCTTGGTCATCCCAATTCGGTGTATGGTTTTATTAGTGAGGTCATAAGCAAAATAACACAGCAATCATGTGATATAAAGATGAATCTAACAACAGGGTTATACATGGTGTAGTAATGTTGACCTTTTACAAATTTATTCAAGAAATGAGCCTTTGCAAAGTTTGGTATGAAAATTGCTTCTTACGAAAAAGATAATTTCAATGATAAAACTTTCTTAAAATGTCAAGAAATTAGCAAAAATTATAAAGTTAATCATACATGTTCAGTCTTCACGAAAGGGTTGAAAAATTGCCAGTAATCCGGACTGTTGAAAATATTTTTTTGCCAAACCGGAATAAATCTGCCAGACCAAAAAAGAAACACCAATATTCTCCCAAAAAACAAGCATTTTAACCGAACATAATCTGACATAGGCTGATTCTGCTTTGCAACTGCATGGACATTTCTGAAAAGATATGTTATGCGGTGACGTTCCGATGCATGAAGCATTTTTAGGGCAACACCCCCTTGTGACTGACTAACTTCAGCTGCTGTTTTTGGCTTACTCTGCCCCATAGGGAAGCATGCTGGTGTGGTTTGGACTTTTCGTGATCCGTAATTGTTGAGGTGCGGAAATTGCTGGTAACTTTAACAAAAGTGTTTAATGATGCCTTTGGATCATTTTCTGGTGTCATAGCCCTACACACTTTACAGAACATTTTATTTTGTTCAGTGTCATACTCTAGTCAATCTCTTTCGGTCTGCCAACTTTCTTGAAATGAGCGTGGTGGTCTTTTAGATTCATATTCTTTGACCTTTTGGTTTTTTTTTTTTTTCACTTTCTGTTTGTTTTTCTTTCTGGCCAGGTTTTGCATCTTCACAATATCTTAGAAATGACATAATACTTGTAATGACAATATGTTAATACATTACATGATGTTCAAAAGCCGAAATGTATTGAAAATGTTTCCAATAATCGAAATTTTCTTCTTGTTTTTGTCCGGGAACTTTGCTAACAGCATTTACAAATCGGCTATGATACAAGCAAATCGATTGGATAGGCTGGCATTGCTTAACCAATCAAAAATGTTGATGCATTACAAAGTTATTAAACTGGAAACTCAGCTCTTTCGTAAAAAAAACGTCGGCGAAAATAGATACTTGTGCCAAAAAACCTTGCCCGTCGACCAGACCGACAACTTGACAAAAGTGACAGACTGGTGGGAATTTTGCCGGACATGACAGTCGCCTTTTGCGAAGACTGCATGTTTGTTGTTCAATAAAACATCAATACAACTGCCAATGGCCTCTTGTTACACAAGTAAATATGCTAAATATCACCACACATGCAGTACTGATACTAAGTAAAGTTTTATGCATCTATTCCCTTAAATGGTGTCCAACAGTTGGTCTCAACAGATGACATGTTAACTGATGATCATACAGTGATATGAGTTGAATATGGAAAGAAACTGTGTGTGAAGTAGGAGTGGCCCTACAGAACTCTTAGATGAGAGGGAATGGCAATTACACCTATATCATACTTAATGAAATGAGGAGATGTTTTCTTTCTTTCTTCTTAAACTTCACATTTTCCCCCCACAAAAAGATACTACCTCAACAACTGACAAATATTAAGGCCATTTAAGAAGAGTCTTTGTCTGAGATGATCCATGGTTCTTTAAAATGATTGCTGAAAACAATGAACAATTTTTGACATCTTGGAGAGAATAAGAAGTACGGTTACCATACTGCTCATATCTAAGATGATGAAAGTTTACTTTTGGTCTCATAAGATGATCCGGGTATCAGTATTTCAGCTGCATATCTGTCAAAGGGGCTTCTAGATTTTTGGTAATCCAGTACTGCTTCAAAAAACTTATTAGACTTGCATAAAGAAAGTTAGGCTGACTCCTTTTGGTCTACTAAAATGGGTAAACATAAAACTGAAAGAGCCTTCAAACATTTCAATGACTATATTGTTACTACTTGTAGCGAAAATCTTAACATGAAAACTGCTCTCTCAACTCTTCTCACTCCCACTCGAGTAACTGACTCAAGAGCAAAAGAAAGTAGCATAATGAGTATTGCTCAAGCAACACATGTCCTCCAAAAGCTATTACACTATAATGATTTAGAAATTTTCTAAAAATAGTAACAGTGGCCTTGACCCAACAACCCTGAAACTCTGCCTTGTCCCAAATGATTTGATGCTTTATAAGAGTGTGAAGTTTGGTAAGAACCCATCAAGGAATGAAGCCGCTAGACTACTGACAATGATTTTCTAAAAGTAGTGACCTTCATCCAAAAACGCTGAAACTTTAACTCCTCAAAGATATTTTGCTGATTTATAAGTGAGTGAAGTTTGATGAGAGTCGCTCTGGGAATGAAGTTGTTAGAGCATATACAGGGACAGGGAGGAAAAGTTTAGTCGCCACCAGTTTCACAGTTAGGAGAATAAAAATTACACAAGCTTGTTGTAAAGCTATTGTGTGGTCAGACACATTTGTAGTACACAAAAGATATACTGCATCTTTTCTTATTTTCTAATCATGGCCTTAATTGCATGAAGCTTACCTGGAAACTTTAATATATTTTGTGTTTTACCAAACATACAAGTAAAAGATGGGACGGTGAAAGATGATGTAGGTACACTGTACTTGAGAGATTTTCTGCCCCAGCAAAGCATCGATTCTGATTTTTATTCTAGACCCCAACAATTGATTCAAATGTCCATATCCCACAAACTGATGACACCATTATTTCAAAACTGAAGCTAGGACTAGTACTCTAGCTCCTTACTCAACAAACAGGTCACCTCAGATTGAGAGAACCAGTTTTAGATGGAATGACAGACAATCAAATGCTGGTAAAAAACATGATTTGTGGAAGATAACACTACAATTTCTGAATTAGATGTATGGCAAAGCAATATAGTGAAATATTAATAATACATCTCAATATAACATATAGTTAGTATGTTTTGTGGTTTCTCTCAAACTTATTTTGATAAAGCTTATAGACCTTGAATGGGCAGTAAAATTCCATCATCATCGTCGTCACTGTCCAGTAGAATAGGGGCTTTTGTGACAGGCTTGGTCTTGGCCAGGGCCTGGGCAATGGAGGGCTGTTTTGGGTCAGCTGTAGGGGTACAGAACTGGTCACATAAGTAAAGGGACAGATCACATCCCTAACTGGTCAACTGACCAGAGTGGACATAGAAAATCAAGGACATGTGTTAATGGTACAATATACATTGGCTTATTTAGTTGAAACACAAAGGAATACACTTCATATAAAAGTCTAAGAGTTTGATGGAAATCAGAACTATCATGAGATGAAAACTTCATTATACGAATACACACAGTACGGTTAATACACAACCCACAGAAAAATGAATAATATAATGTTAATTTTACAATGTACTATAACAAATTCTAAAATCAGTGATATTTGCTGCAATGGACCAATATAAGTAAAGTTTTTCACATAGTAAAAAAATTCACATTTCCCTTCAATATGAACATGTTACAAAAATGTTCATGTCTTAAGAATTTAAAAGCTTTGTCATAGAGGATCATATTAATTTCAAGAAGAATAATAACATACAGGCCCCAACAACATGTGAAAAAGTGATTTCATGAACTGTTTTTTTTTTTATTATTTTCCAATGGTTATCTAAAAAAGCTCAGTATTGGTCCCTGGCTGCAAAAGTCTATGATGTCTACTTTTTGTGTCAGGTTACATGGTGCACATCCTCTATATTACATAAAACAGGTCACATTCTCTTACCAGGCTTTTTCTTCGCTGGAGGTTTTTTGGCCCCAGTTTTCTTTAATTTGATTGGTGCTATGGGTTTAAACATCTCCTCTTCATCACTATCACCTACCATAACTGGATCAGCTGGAAAATTAAACAGACAATCTGTAAGTGTGACGAAGATGACTACAATTAAACCCTACAAATTAAATTGGAGTAAACAACTGGTTTATACTTTAGCAGCATCAATATCCCTTTTTCTGATCCAAGTTTCTCTCTAATTTTACACTTTACAAAGTTTACAAAGAAAATTTCAATTATATATCAATGCTAGTTTTCCTACATTGTTAAATCACAGCAGTATTTTTATATTAAATACACAGTAATACAGTCCTACCTATCTATAGTAAACATTCAGGTGCTGGATTAAAACAAGTGCACTTTCATGGCACATATTTTGGTCAAGTTCACTAATTATCATGTCAAATTATTACCAAAAGTTCTCTGAAAGTGTTCAAAGACAGTAAAATACAAATACAGTTGAACTTTATTATTTTGTGGTTGATTAGAAAAAAGGGAAAACTTTGAGTTATCTGAGTTTTCAATTTAAGTGAGTTTTAATATTTGGTGTGAAGGTTGCAAGTACTGAAGAAATTCATCAAAATAAACAGGGTCTTTGAGTTGTACAAGTTAAACTTTAATTAATGAAAATATATTAAATGACCAAAATGATTTCATAATATTCTCAATGAAATGTAAAACAATAAAGTATGCAGTAGGTGGGACACATCATTTGCCTATTTCTAGAAGCTTGCTTTACCTTTGGTATACATGGACATATGATATGGACACAGCTGAGGTTATGATCACTTTCACTCTCTGCACACCTGGAACATGCCATGGCAAAATTGAAGGCAGAAGTGAGGTAATTTGATTGGTTCCAGGAGAAAAAACTGACCAATCAGACGATACACTCCTTTTGAAGATAACAAAGGAGTGACACCCAACTTCCAAGCCATTACAATACATAATGGACCCTGAGATACATTTGATGTACACCAAAGGATCAAACTAGTCTTTTTGTCTTGTCCACAAGTTGTCGCATATGAAATCTTCAATTTTGTCATGATATGTTCCACTAATGCAGTGAGTAAAAATGATTGTAATATCTGGAGTATTGAGGATACTGCCACATGGACACATCTTACCTTATGGGTGACTGACTGGACAAAACTTGCCTTTTGGTGATTGTGACATGAACACAGCTAACCTTTCGGTGATTGTGACATGAACACAGCTTACCTTTTGGTGATTGTGACATGAACACAGCTTACCTTTTGGTGATTGTGACATGAACACAGCTTACCTTTCGGTGATTGTGACATGAACACAGCTTACCTTTTGGTGATTGTGACATGAACACAGCTTACCTTTCGATGATTGTGACATGAACACAGCTTACCTTTTGGTGATTGTGACATGAACACAGCTTACCTTTTGGTGATTGTGACATGAACACAGCTTACCTTTTGGTGATTGTGAGATGAACACAGCTTACCTTTTGGTGATTGTGACATGAACAGCTTACCTTTTGGTGATTGTGAGATGAACACAGCTTACCTTTTGGTGATTGTGACATGAACACAGCTTACCTTTTGGTGATTGTGACATGAACACAGCTTACCTTTTGGTGATTGTGAGATGAACACAGCTTACCTTTTGGTGATTGTGACATGAACACAGCTTACCTTTCGACGATTGTGACATGAACACAGCTTACCTTTTGGTGATTGTGACATGAACACAGCTTACCTTTTGGTGATTGTGACATGAACACAGCTTACCTTTTGGTGATTGTGAGATGAACACAGCTTACCTTTTGGTGATTGTGACATGAACACAGCTTACCTTTTGGTGATTGTGAGATGAACACAGCTTACCTTTCGGTCATTGTGACATGAACACAGCTTACCTTTTGGTGATTGTGACATGAACACAGCTTACCTTTTGGTGATTGTGACATGAACACAGCTTACCTTTTGGTGATTGTGAGATGAACACAGCTTACCTTTCGGTCATTGTGACATGAACACAGCTTACCTTTTGGTGATTGTGACATGAACACAGCTTACCTTTTGGTGATTGTGACATGAACACAGCTTACCTTTTGGTGATTGTGACATGAACACAGCTTACCTTTTGGTGATTGGGACTGGCCCCAAATGTCCTGTGAGTTTGTATCCCCATTAAACTGGTCATCTTCTTCACCAGATGAAATTAATGTCGTTTTTGCTGGAGCTGCTCTGTAACAATAATTACATACCAATTAGAATAGCAGATTTCTTAACCCTATCTCTCCTATTATGTTTCTAAGGTTTCCATACATAGATTTCACAAGGTGACATCACTGGTCATTACTTCTGACAGGTGAAACACATTTCAATGACTGAGTTCGTCTATGACTTTCATGAAACAACAGAAACAGACCTTAATATACTTGTTATATAATTATAATCACAATACACTGATATAACTTCAGCTCTTACCACTTGATAACCTTAATAGCCAAAGATACCACAAGCTTAATAACTGTACAAAATTTCGAGTTATTATCTTGAATGTTTCAGAGCACTGGTCCAGAAAAATTGAAATTTGTGATTCCCTGGTCACCGAAAAAGTGTCTAAATGGAGAATTTCCACAGCACTACATCTTTACTAGCTTGATAACAGTACAAAGTTTTGAATAACATCTTGAATGGTTTCAGAGCACTGGTCTGGAAAATGACCTTGCATGGACAGACGCCCCGGGTCAAATCTAATATCCCCTACAAAATGCGTTTTTGCAAGGGATAACAAGGTTCATGTTTGCAATCTTTTTAAGGATTTAACCAGGTTTTAACATATCAGTCAAAACTTATTACATTAAAGATAATAGACAAACCAGTTTATTTTAAAATAAATTACCAAAGTATTATCAAAAGTAATCAAATGAAACATTATACTAACTTTGATTTGACTGGTTTCCCTATGAACGATTCTTCTTCCTCACTCAATGGTTCATCTGCAGCAGCTGGTTTAAAGTCTGCATCTGCCACTGGTTGGAAGTCATCATTGTCTGAGTCTGACTTGATAGCCTCCTCGTCTGACCCGTAACTATATCGAGGTTTAGAAGCTGTAAACATGCCAGTTTCCCTATCACTTTCTGATAAATGCCTCATCATTTCAAGCTTTAAAAATCAAAGTTTTATTGATGGGATGTCAAACTTATTTAGCCTCTGGCTGTTTACATGAGTCAAATGGGTTTTGGTAACAAATCCAAAACAAGAGTATCACAGGATTGAAAAATATACACCCATCCCACACCAGATATAACTGTAACAAAATGCATTTTAATATAGAAATCAAAAGCATAACTTATTGTCAATAAAGTGCAGCCTACCAAATAGACAGATTCAAGCCAGATAGCCATGTATAATGTATAAAGAACAAACATCTTTTAGAATCATCTGTCTTTGTTTTGTTTAAGACTAAAAAAACTTAAAACAGACACACATTACCCTCCTGATGTATGAATTAGAGCACACAAACCTGCTGCTCGTCTTGGCATTCTGTCTCTGCTGATAACTGTCTCACGGAAGCTTCCATCCATGTCCTCATTAGAGAAGTCAGACATTTCTTCCTCAGAATCGTCAGACCAGGGATTCCTTTTTTTGCCCTTTTTAGGGGACTTCTTGGGTGAGGTTTTCTTAAGAGCACCAGGTTCAGCCTTCGGTTTTTTTGGATCTACATTTAGAACACAAAAATATTACCTTATGAAAAGTCTTGTCTCTCAGTCGGGCACCATTCCTTTCTTTTTCCTCCTCCAAAATATTTCCCCACAACAAATAAAAAGATGTCAAACATGAAAGTGCAATTACTGAAAAAAACACATTTCAATTTATATGACGTTAGCCATTTTGCAAAACATCACTCCTTTAAGCTTGTCTTACATATACTGGTAGCACAGGCTGCCTTACTTCGTTTCTTTTTTTCGTTGCCCTCGCCTGCTGCCATGCCCAAATCTTTAGCCTTAATACGATCAGCCAGACTCATAGGCTCATCCTCCTCATCCTCCATCTTAAATTCCAAAGTCTTGGCTTCCTTCCCCTGAAGAAACAATAATACAATATCTAATAAAATAGTTTGCCATTATTGAAAATACTGTTTCATGTTTGTTGTGAATAAACTTTTGCTCTGTTTTTTCTAGACGTAATCAAGAAATCATGAAAAAAATTCAAGAAATAAGACTCCACATTGTAATTTGTTTAGTTATTATGCCTTATCCACTGAATTATTTACACTTGAAAATTTTTCTGAAGAAGAAAGTACCAGTAGACACTTAACATTACACAATAAAAGTTAATGCCTCTCCAACAGTACATAATGGAGAAATCTTTAAGTCCTATGTAATAAGTTGCCACATGCAAATTTCTCAGTTTGGTGTAAAAAACAGAATTTCTAATTGCAAGTGTTATCCTTTTGCCATGGAGGAGCAGAAATTTATATCATACAACAATATAATATTGGATACTTGTGAAAGTCTGAAATGTGTAGGAATTGGCTTACGAAGTGTTTATAACATAGAACTATGATGACAATCTTCCCATCTTTCAAGTGTATTCATTCTTTAAAACAATGAAATACTCCGATATTGCTTGGATAGTGTTAAGATTGTTTACAAAAAATGGTGGACTTTGATTCTGCTTTCAATTTCTGAGGCATTCATGACAAGAAAAACAGAACCAAACCATTAAAAACAATTTAATACATCAAACTGAGTACATTTTATTGTGAAAACAAAATGGGAATATGTATACCTTGTGCAGCAACAAAAAACAGGTTACAAATAAGCAATAATTTATACACGAGTGACATGGTGAGTACATGAAGTTATACTTCTCATCACTTTACTGAACCGATGATTGTTTTCCCAAGCAGATATTCAATAGAAACATTTCAACTTATTCCAAATGATAAGATCACTGCCAGAAAATATCAACCTACAGATATCATAGGCACCACACAGTCGTAAATGATCCTTTTATTGAAGAACTACAGCCATTTGCTCTAATAATAATGCGCCATGCGCAAAAGAATGACCTGAAAGTCTCCAATTGTGATCACAAAATTTGAACTGAGTATGCAGAGAGTTTACCTGTGTGAAGAAACATTTGATACTTACTGCCTTTTTCCCTTTTGCAATGGTTGCCTTTGTAACCTTCTTCATAGCCGATTCTATTCGTGGTTCAACACGCTTGCCCATTGGCGATGGCTGTGTCTCTATGATAGCCACCTTCTTGACACGTGGCTTGCTGCCACCTTTTGTCTTGGTCACCTTTGTGATGCCTATAGCTTCATCCTCTTTTTCTCTCAGTTCCACTTCCTGTCCAAGTACAAAAATTTGTTACAGTATTCACCGAGTTCACAAAACATTTCGGTTTTCATACACTCAAAATTGGTTGAGAAATGAAACTGCTAGAGTGATGACAAGAAGTGAATGTACATACGTACAAACAGAATGCTATATCCCCTCTGCGGTCACTGCGAGGGGATGATAAATATGCTGACAAACAAGTAGATGCTATGGTAATGTATCAGTGCCACTTCCAACTTACATCTAGTTCAGTTAGGAACTCCTCCAGATCATCTTTCCACAGGTCCATTTTTGTCTTCTGTCTGAGACTGGACAATTCTTTGGCCTAGGAAAGTAAAAAACATATACCTATTAATTCTTGATTTGAGGCAATTAGAGATCCCAACACGAGACATACTTATTACACTGGCATACCGAAAACTGGAAGATCAAGACTGTAGGTACAATTTGGCACATTTGACAATTGTCACCTGGCAAAAAAGTACCAAAACTAAACATGTCAATCTAATTGTATAAATCATTGCCTTAGTATGTCCACAAGGCTTTAATCAATTCTATTATAATTTGACAAATCAATTGAAATGGTCACAACTAAGATTTGAAAACTGGGACATGTGGTATATCACATAAATGTTTATTAAACCCATTGTCTGTACACTGAGGTACATTTGGCCTAATGCTTTCTGGGCTACCAAATTTTTACCAGATGACATAAACAGTGAAGGAGCTGTCAATTTAATTAACAAATAGGAATCAAAATAAAACCACTTTGCCATTTAGATAAAATTTCTAACACCAAAATATCTCTTATTTGTGGTCTTCTTCAACAGATGGGACATTCAGGTCAGTCTTTCACCAGATGAGGATATTCTAGGACAACAAGGAGACATTCCTACCTTTGCCTCTTTCTGTTTCAGCAGTTCGTCTTTCTTCTCGCGAGACAGACTCCACAGTTGCATACCCAACAGATAGTTGAAGTCTGGACCTTCATTGTCTTCATCATCATCATCATCATCATCCTGCCAACAAAAGACATATCTACCCTGATGTTTTATTGTCATAGTTTTTACCAGGCACAAATATCATTGAAAACATTGTGCTAACATGTTATGGCAAGATATAACAATAAAATAATAAACAATAAAATCAGATTTCTCAACTCAACAAAAGGTCAACATTCCAGTTTATCCAGAACACCTGATCTATTTTCCTTGACCTTTTTCAGGGGTTTTCTTTTTAAATATTTTCCCTTAGTTTCATGAAATTTAAGTTTGAATGAAGATTCTATTGACATGTAAGTATTTTATTGGTGGCTTTTGCTGAAAATTTCATGGAACTTTTGTATTGAATATACAACACATTATTTTTTCCTTTTTTAGATGTCTCAACTAATCTAAGCTGTGCCAAAGACGTAAAAATGACAAACATCAAATGATATAGATTAAACACTTGTCATCAAACAAACTCAGAATATTTGCAAAGTTCTTTGTTTCCTGCATGTTTAGAATGGCCCACCTTGATGTTTATATCCTGCTTGGATTTCCAGGCCTTAATGGGATCACTATCGTAACCTCTCCTCACAAGCATAGAGATCAGCTCCTTCTTTGGTTTGTTTTCTGTAATTCACAGTAAGGACAAGAACACTTCAGTCTGATATAGAAAAGCATCAGCTCATACATATATTGCCTTTTTTATAATGATCAGAAAAACTTTTTACTTCTCTGTTACAAATAAAAATGATATCAGAGATTTGATCCTTGGTACTGAAGTAAATAATCACTGTACAGTACAAATTTGTTTACATGTGTACAGTATAAATTTGTTGTTTACATGTGTATAGGTTCAATTCCTTGTTTACATGTGTACAGTACAAATTTGTTGTTTTCATGTGTACAGTATAAATTCCTTGTTTACATGCGTACAGTATAAATTCCTTGTTTACATGTGTACAGTACAAATTTGTTGTTTTCATGTGTACAGTATAAATTCCTTGTTTACATGTGTACAGTATAAATTCCTTGTTTACATGTGTATAGGTTCAATTCCTTGTTTACATGTGTATAGGATCAATTCCTTGTTTACATGTGTACAGTATAAATTTGTTGTTTTCATGTGTACAGTCTAAATTTGTTGTTTTCATGTGTACAGTATAAATTTGTTGTTTACATGTGTACAGTACAAATTTGTTGTTTTCATGTGTACAGTATAAATTTGTTGTTTACATGTGTATAGGATCAATTCCTTGTTTACATGTGTACAGTATAAATTTGTTGTTTACATGTGTACAGTACAAATTTGTTGTTTACATGTGTACAGTATAAATTCCTTGTTTACATGTGTATAGGTTCAATTCCTTGTTTACATGTGTACAGTATAAATTTGTTGTTTACATGTGTACAGTACAAATTTGTTGTTTTCATGTGTATAGGTTCAATTCCTTGTTTACATGTGTTTACATGTGTACAGTATAAATTTGTTGTTTACATGTGTATAGGATTTCCTTGTTTACATGTGTACAGTATAAATTTGTTGTTTACATGTGTACAGTACAAATTTGTTGTTTTCATGTGTATAGGTTCAATTCCTTGTTTACATGTGTACAGTATAAATTTGTTGTTTTCATGTGTACAGTATAAATTTGTTGTTTACATGTGTATAGGATCAATTCCTTGTTTACATGTGTACAGTATAAATTTGTTGTTTTCATGTGTACAGTATAAATTCCTTGTTTACATGTGTATAGGTTCAATTCCTTGTTTACATGTGTACAGTATAAATTTGTTGTTTACATGTGTACAGTACAAATTTGTTGTTTTCATGTGTACAGTATAAATTTGTTGTTTACATGTGTATAGGTTCAATTCCTTGTTTACATGTGTATAGGTTCAATTCCTTGTTTACATGTGTACAGTACAAATTTGTTGTTTTCATGTGTACAGTATAAATTCATGTGTACAGTATAAATTAGTTGTTTACATGTGTATAGGTTCAATTCCTTGTTTACATGTGTACAGTATAAATTTGTTGTTTACATGTGTACAGTACAAATTTGTTGTTTTCATGTGTACAGTATAAATTTGTTGTTTACATGTGTATAGGATCAATTCCTTGTTTACATGTGTATAGGTTCAATTCCTTGTTTACATGTGTACAGTATAAATTTGTTGTTTACATGTGTACAGTACAAATTTGTTGTTTTCATGTGTACAGTATAAATTTGTTGTTTACATGTGTATAGGATCAATTCCTTGTTTACATGTGTACAGTATAAATTTGTTGTTTACATGTGTACAGTACAAATTTGTTGTTTTCATGTGTACAGTATAAATTTGTTGTTTACATGTGTATAGGATCAATTCCTTGTTTACATGTGTACAGTATAAATTTGTTGTTTTCATGTGTACAGTATAAATTCCTTGTTTACATGTGTACAGTATAAATTTGTTGTTTACATGTGTACAGTACAAATTTGTTGTTTTCATGTGTACAGTATAAATTTGTTGTTTACATGTGTATAGGATCAATTCCTTGTTTACATGTGTACAGTATAAATTTGTTGTTTACATGTGTACAGTACAAATTTGTTGTTTTCATGTGTACAGTATAAATTTGTTGTTTACATGTGTATAGGATCAATTCCTTGTTTACATGTGTACAGTATAAATTTGTTGTTTTCATGTGTACAGTATAAATTCCTTGTTTACATGTGTACAGTATAAATTTGTTGTTTTCATGTGTACAGTATAAATTTGTTGTTTACATGTGTATAGGTTCAATTCCTTGTTTACATGTGTACAGTATAAATTCCTTGTTTACATGTGTACAGTATAAATTCCTTGTTTACATGTGTATAGGTTCAATTCCTTGTTTACATGTGTATAGTATAAATTCCTTGTTTACATGTGTACAGTATAAATTCCATGTTTACATGTGTACAGTATAAATTTATTGTTTTCTTGTATACTGGATAAATTCCTTGTTTACATGTCTATAATCCATTATTGGTTAAAATCAGATAGGCTATTTGATGAAGTTAAACAACTTCATAATCACCTGTTCAATTTTTAAAGAAAGTGAATGGTTTCCTTGTTGCAGTAACATATTTGAAACAACCTTTTACCTGAAATACCTCACTTACCTAGAATTTGCATAATATTGAACATATTATTGGCAAATGGCATCTTTATAATGCATAATATGAATCTAGTTTTGGAAATATTAAGGCACCTTTGATTGATTATGAAAAATGATAATTGTATCAAATGAGAATAATGATTTTCATAGCGTATTCATTACCAGAATCCTCTGAAGACAAGTTAAGCCACCCCACACTTCTCATAAACACAATATCTGCATGGATATTCTACACAATCAGACAGCCATTTGTAAGTGACAGGTAAAGTCCTTTGATCTGGCCATTAAGCTTCCTAAAATCCATCTAGTACTGTATCTGTATTATAATTCCCTGCGACCAAGCCAACATGCACATCATTTCTACATCATGAGCTTTAGGGTCACAGCTACCTTAACAAGGATTCCAATTTGTTTTTATTTTTACACACCATCATTTGGTTTATTGTAGAATCTTACACAGAAGAACATATCACTTTAACTTGCCTCAGAACCCAATCCTACATCTCTAACTCACCAATGACAATAGTGCCATCAATCTTCTCAAGAATGAAGCGAGCCATGTTATCAAACTTCAATGATTCCGCAGATAGCATTCCCAGCATGTAGTCCTTTCTTTTCTGGTAGTACTCTAAGCGAAGGGCATAAAACTCGCGTAGGATATCTTCCACTGTCTCGTACCTCTTGATACAACCATTGGGATCAAACAATACCTGCAAAGCACAATTAATGTTAAAACACTGATCTATTAAATCAACTACAACACCATTTTTATCTATTCATATTCAATATAGAAGTTGAAAAGCACAGGTAATGAAGACATATTTGCCTGCCATCTTTATTTTATGAATTAGCTTTGACCTGAAATCAATAGAAATGGAGGCATAACATGGAACTCTGCCTGATCAAGGTGGAGGATCAAGTTTGTACACAACTCACCATGGAAGTCTGTGACAAGTTGGTCTGTAGTTTGAAGACTTTGTGTAGCCCTGTGTCTTCTGCCTGGGCCAGCTTCTCTGGAGTCATCTTGACCACAAACCTCACCGTTGTGTCTGTGTGATACTCTTTGTAGTCTCTGAAGACACAAAGTACAGAAGATTAAGCTGTTGTTGAAATCAATTAATTTACAATCTTGCTAATTACGTGGCCTGTCAGTGTGAATATGCTTTGACCATTTCATACAGGTTTTTATAGTTATGATTCCCTAATTCTTAAACTTCCATAAACAACACATGAATAGTCATCAGATTCTTAAACATGCCTTCACATATCATGTAACTTAGGAGTGTTTGGTCTTTGTTGTACGATCAGAATTCTTTTTGTGACTTACGTGATCATGACAGGTTGTTTGTCATTGCCGTAAAGCATAGGCTCCAGTACATCCTCCTTGTAGTTCTGAGTCCAGGTACGTATTGGCAGTTCTGTGATCTCCACTGTCTGTTCATCGATGATGGAGATCTCACCCGACACGAGGTACCTGTTCGGGCACAGTTCCTGAATGGTGCCCTTGAAACCCTTGAAGGAAGGCAACTGGAACCACAATATCACATCAAAATAAGCCACATAATGTTCTTTTATTTAAATATTAGTAGATGGAAGCAACAAAACTTTTCTCTCAATTAGAAAACACTTTCCAAATTAACCATACCATTGGGTGAACTTCTTCATTGTCCATAAGTCTCTTAATGTTAGCGATGATCTCTCGTGGGTCATAGTTGGCAATTTTTGTGCTCCAGCCTGTGCCGATTCCTTCAGCTCCATTGACCAACACCATAGGTAAGATCGGACAGTACCAAGTTGGCTCAATCTTCTGATTATCATCGAAGTTGGACTCCAGTAGTGGCTCGTCCTTGGGGTTGAATGCAAGTTTGGCCATTGGACTGCAAGAGTATCAATTCCATTTTTGTATACATGATAACTGTATTCACATACCTGATCCATCCTCAATTTAATAGGTTACGCACAGAATGGTATTAAGTATCGTAATGTTTTTTTTACTAAATACACACTAAATTCTTTGAATTAATGCATCGATTACAATGACAATCCAATTACCCCGAGAGTTATTGTGTGTTTTCTGCAGTAAGAGAATCTGCTTTTTCTGTGCCTTTCTTCAGCTTCGTATGTATTCATCAGTTATAAATCAGTCACTGGAGGTATAACCTAATAGACTATGTATTTTATCCTGTATACCAGTAATGATATATCCTATTATATTTTTAATCTTTGCACCAGTTTACTATCAAAATTCTATTCAATATGGATCATATTCCTATTATTTTCCATCAGTTGAGGTCTATTTAAGAAAAAAAAAACATCTATCCCATCCCTGGATTCAAGGGTTTTGCTTCTAGGTACTACCAATAGAAAACATTTGATGAATTGTTTAAAATTGGAAGGAAACTGAACCATGGTTCAGACTCGAATTATTTTGAGAGTCCTGCTGTCAAGAATTTTTACTGAAATAGCCCTCATAACTTAATTGCAAGAGCTGGAACATAGAAGGTTAATACCCCAAGTTATTAGTGGTCATTAAATTTTACAGTGATGACTCTATCAAATATAGGTAAAGTGATGCTACCTGAGTGCAGTGAAGATATAACGGGGACTAGCAGCATCCTTGCCACCATGTAGACGGGTACCAAACTGACCAATGGGCTTCAGCGTGTTGATGTTGTTAGAACCGACAAAGTTCTGGGCTAAGTTGATGATTGTGCCCATCAAGGAGTTCTAAAAAGGACATATGCCAATTACATGATATGAAATACTTGGTAGAAGAGAAGTCTGCGATATCATAGACTTATCTTGTGATAACTCACATATCTCCTTATCTCCTTTTTGTGAAATATTTTGGACAAAATAAGACAATTTCAGCTTAAATTTTCTGAGATGTAATGTTGCATACATAAAAGAAGTTGGCACAGCAAATTACCAACCTTAAGAAAACTTAAACCTGAAACAATGCTCAAACTAAGATAAAATATGTAGTTTACCTCTCCGTGGTGGTAGGCAGACTGTTCGCCCACAGAGCCTGCTAACTGTGCAACCTTGATTTCCTTCAGCTGATTACGCTTGAAGCATGTAAAGAGAACCTTTCTCTGTCCTGGTTTGAAGCCATCCACCATGGAAGGGATGGAGCGATTGTTGTCGGCATTGCTAAACAAGATCAATTCTCGATTGATGAAGTCGTTGAAGGTGATGTGCTTCGTCTCTTTGCCATACAGGTACAGCTACAACAGTCCAATTCATCAAGTCAGCATGTTTTATAAGAACTATTACTGCAGACTTATTGTGAAATTGATATTTTACTACAGTGTTGCAGTCCCTTCAGTGGCATTCCCTATATTTCACAAAACGTTTAATCCAACATCTATGATTGTTGTTTTAGTATTTGACGTACCTCTGGCAACCCCATCTCTGAGCGACGTTTTCTCTCCTCCATCCATGTAGTCAGCCATTCTTTCCTCTCTTCAATCTTCTTTCTGCTAAATGCCTGTATTCAAAATCATAATTCCAGATGCTGTACATAGCTGTGTATTTGTTAAAACTGAGGTTTAACAAATGTCATAAGATTTCACACAACAGACAGGAAACAACAACATAAGAATCTATGGACTCATGTCAGAAGTAAATTTTTGTTCCATTACAAATTATCAAGTTTTCATACCAAGATGTATGCTAAAGTGTTTGTTTAATTCAACATTTACTATATATGTAAATCATTGTTGTCATTACTTATGAAATAGCTACCATACCAGAGTAATGGAGGCGTCGTCCTCTACACCAGTGTAACGAAAGTCAATCTTGTGTCTATCCATATCAGCAAAATACTCCTTTGCTTCCTTGGCTGTGCTGGTACCCAAACCTACAACCATGGTATTCTTCCAAATAACATCTGATCTTTAAGTATAATGGATTTATTTTGTTTCTGTCAACTTAACCATCTGAAAAGCTCATTTCTTACTCTCAGTCTAAAATCCCAGTCTTTTATCTTCACCAATGACAAATTGCATGCATAATTTCACATGGATTGCAACAGGAATAACCAAATTTTTTATTTTGTTTCGTTGCGCAAATACCAATTTGACAATTTGGTATATAGCATTACATGCTGAGCTTCATCTGTTGCTTTTGCTATACTTAACAAGAGTTCCTCGGAACTGTATGTGACACCTGCATAAAGTGTCATGGTTACCCAGAAATTGAACTGGATGTGCAACGATCAACCATAAAGTTGTAATACCAAATTTCATTTCTATAACTTGAAGCATAAAGGAAAAACTGGGCAAAGCAATATTCCTGAGAAATTTTCTAAGTTGAAAGGGGCATAACTCTGCCAAAAAGGGTCACAGACAGCCGGGAATCAACCTTAATCTGTACCCTTGCAACAAAAAGCCATATGCCAAATTTCATTTTGATAACTCAAAGCATTACCGAAAAATGTCTGGAAAGCTTTCTGCGGACGCCAACGATGCTTGATGACGGACAAAGTGATCCCTAAGTGTCCGCCAGCTCTGTAGGCCACACAATAAACTATCGCATTCGAGAGAATTTCTGTGGTTACAATCATCTGATTTCTTTATTGCTTTATTAGCAGCCTTTGGCTATTCTGAATGTCTAGCTAAGTGACATGAGTGAGAAGACCAACAGAGACAAACCTTTGTAGTACTTGACTTTCCATGTGTGCCAGTTGATAGTATCCCTCTTCCACTCCTCAAACTCCGGTAGACTGTAGAAGGATAATTCATCCTTACCCTTTGTTACCTGTCAATCAACCATTAGATATGACAAAATATCAGATAATATAAGTCAAAGACATATAAATAAATGGTAATTTAAAGCAATACAGCAAAACAATTGCAGCAAAATATTTACTCTATCTAGAAATTTCAACATTGAGAGAAGTGACCATTTTCAAAGTTCAGAATTGATAAGCTGCCTTTTCTCCAGTGCCTAAAGCTCATTCCTTAAGTTTGATTTGAGATAGTTTACTTGTGTATTCTTGTGCTACCTAGCTAACTTTTTGTTTCTCTCATTTCTACCCAGGTATTGTTGCTCTCTACAGGGCAAGGTTCACTGTTCTTGTACTACACATCCACCCATGCAATACAAGCAGGTGCATATAGAAATGTGAGGTGTCCCTTCCCAAATGATGTTAATGTTTAATACAATGCATACGCATTAGTGTACAAATAGTTATCTGCAGTGACTGTTTATATTTTGTTTCAGTTTTCCAGAGCAAACTTTGTTTGCTTAATCTATGAGCAGAGAATTCCTTTTCTATGTCAATTAATTGCATAATTAAACATATGATTACTGTGTAATATGGTGTCATTTGTTGTGCATTGTCAATGTGTGGCACTATTTTCCCAAATATTTTAGAAATAGAAACGAGAGATAAATACTCTTTCATATATGTTGGAATGAAGGATGGGATATTTCACCCTCGAGGTCACAAACTGGTAAAACCCACAGTCAAAGAGTCCAATACTTGTAACAACTTTAGTGTTTATAAGATGAACAAAAAAAACAAGCAACTGTCAATCATAATGAAAGTCTATCTCCAAAATATTCACATTAATATTGAACAAAACTCATTTAATTCATCTTGTATGCTTTTTCCCCATTTAATATTAAAATCAGAGAACATTTACATATTTACAAAGTTAAATCCCAAAAAATCTTTCCTACCTTGACGATTGGTGTGATGAACTGGTTGACGACGTTACGTTTGAGTAGGGCAGGCCAGAAATGGTGCATCAGGTTGATGAGGAGACCTTTGATATGGGAGCCGTCCTGGTCCTGATCTGTCATGATCATCAGTTTACCATAACGTAATGTCTTCAGTGATTCTTCGCTGTCATAATTCTGTTTGAACTGTAGGCCCATGATCTTTATTATGTTGTTAATCTCTGCATTTTCCATGATCTAGAAGTGATTGAAATGTAGCATGATTAAAATGTTTCTTTACATACAAATCACTCGTAGGTAACAAAGTGAATTAGTGCATGGTTCAAGTGAATTAATTAGCAATAACACTTGAACTTTTCACAACTGTATACATGCTGTTTGCATATATTTTGAAAGTACAGGTTTTTCTTCTTCTTTATTAATATATATGCATCTGTGAAATTCTTGTGAATAAAACTCATGCTAATTTATACAGCTTCGTTACTTGTTAAGCCCTGACTTAATGAAAAATTGTACAACTAGACCACTGACAGGTCAACAAGGGCCTTACACTTTAATCTATATTCAAGACTAAGTTTCAGGATAGCCCATCATATACTCATGATTCCATCTATTCTCCCTTCGCTTCAGAACATTATTTCTGGTACAGGAGATATTTTAAACTGATTTTCCTATTTATAATAAGTGATCTAGATCTTTGACCTTCAAAACTGTAAAGCAATCCTATGCAAACACTTTAAGAAAGGAAGCATCGTAAAATGTTTTGGTTAGATTGGTCAAATCAAACTCTAGTTTTTGCACAGAAATTGATTTTCTATCTATAGTAATAGTGACCTTGACCTTTGAAGCTGAAAAGCAGTCCGATGCAAGCAATTTCAATAAGGAAGCACTGCATACAGTTTGAGCTTGTTTAGAGAGACGGATGGACAGACAAGTGATTACTTTAGGGCACCTGCACTTTCTTTTGAGACCCTTATTAGACAGATATAAATCAAATCAGACAACCTATAATACCTGTTTATGTGTAGCTTCTCGTACGTTGAGCACCTTTCCCTTGAGAGGGAACACTCCATATTTGTCACGTCCAACAATCCCTAGGCCAGCGACTGCCAGAGTCTTGGCTGAGTCTCCCTCCGTCAGGATAAGAGTGCAATCCTTGGAGAACTTTGTACCAGCCTCATTGGCATCGTCCAGTTTGGGAATTCCTTTGAGTTTAGAGTGCTTGCTGCCACTACACTTCTTGTTGAGCTGAGCCTGGGCCTTAAATCTCATCCAGCTCATGATGCTTTCCACAATTCCACACTTACTCACCTGAAATATTTCCACAGAATTTAACACTACACTTACATGTATGAATAATACAAACTCATATATCCTCTACAAATATCACCTGAATCAAATTTCACATGCAGATGTACCCTAAATTACTCAATACATAATTGAAGATTACCTTCAAAAAAGTCTTTCACTATGTACTTGGTTTCCTATAACATATACTAGTATGACATCAGGAGTGACAAGCAAGAACTTATCAAAGTTTTTTCTGCAAATGATGTCTTTTTTTTTTAGGGACTTTTTCTCAAGGATGTGATAAAACCTTAAAAAATAGATACCTTGCTACTGAAATTAGTAGATTCACCGTCTGTTCCCTGACTTCTGTGAAAATACATTTTATTTGCTTCAAGTTTAACCAATCACAATAGCATCTTCTTAACACCATTAACTGACTTGAAAATTTATTATCAATTCTGTCCAAGACAGCTCATGTTTAACTGAAATAACTTCCCAGATCTGTATCCTTTTAATTAATAAAACATTTCCATAAAAAGTATGATTAGAGACTCCTTACTGAGGTAACAAATTTTTCGGACAGAGAACACTTGGATCCAAATGCCTTGACCTGCAGTGTCATGTTTTCCTTGGTCTGTGAATCAAATGTAGGGTTTTCGATCATGGAGTTCACAAACACCCATAAATGATTTTTGATCTGAAATTCAAAGGGAACACATGATTATAGTAAAGTGAAATAATCAGTTATATAAATAGGGAAAAAAAAAAGAAGAAAGAAAATGATTTTGGTTTATCAGTAGATTTCATTTAACAGGAAAATACTTTGTGACAATATATAGGAGTTCATAGAACTTGAACCTGTCTGCATGCCAATGGTTATTGCCCTGTGGAACATTGAAATAGACATGCAATCTAAAAATATCCCATAAAACCTTGAGAAAATACCTGGTCTTGAAAACATATACTGGATAGATGGTAACAATTGAAGAAAACAGACAGATTTGCTCTAATCTCTGTAAAAGTAATGGATGATCAAAAAAATATGTTTACAAAATAGCATAAGGTTACCTGGAAAGGTTTGATGGCCACTCCACCCTTGTTTTTCTTCTTTACAATTTCAATAAGCTTGTTGACAACCTGATCTGTGATGTAGTCAACATGACGACCACCCTAATGCATGAGAGAAATAAATAACATGTAATATTGATCAATTTCTCATACAGCAACACTAATAATGGTTTTAAGAAGACTAGAATTGATGAAAAATGAGTGTAATCTGCAGGTAAGATGGTCTTATCGACAAGTAAGTCAACGACAAGTGAAGTAGGTAGAGGAAAAATGTCACAGGACTTAAGTTTTCAAACTCAATTACATAATAACAGTTTATCAATATCTAAAATTGTGTTTGGAGGTTTCATATAAACTCTACAAGTAGTAGGTAGCATGTGTTCAGGTTTCTCTTGATTTTTAAAACAATAATGCTCATTTCTTCAGGGTTAGTTAAGTGATCATGAAATGTTGCTGGATTTTTTAATATGTTTTATCAATATCAGATATAAGAGTCTCTAGGCTACAGTGACTAATTACCTTCGTGGTGGCTATACTGTTTACAAAGCTGACTTGCTGGTATCCTTTTTCACTGATCATGGCTGCCACTTCCCAGCGTTCGTGAGCTTTCTCATAACACACCTTGATAGGCATATTATTTTCATCCATCTTATCCTTCACGTAAAGGTTAATGTATTCCTGGAAATTCTTTACCTGAAGAAAAACATGAAAAGATGAACGAAGGTCTTAGTAATTTCTCACTTTTTACAGACATAACTTTTGTTTATATATGCAAATGATTTTTCAAATGTTATCGATGAATATAGAAATCAGTGTGGACAGTACCCAAAAAACTTTCTCTGTCCTCGTTGCAAGACAATTTTATATTAAGCAAAAATAAAAGTAGTCAGATATTGAAACACAACAATTTTTAAATCATAATTTCACATTATAAGGGCTGCCATTCCAATCCTTTTTCCTATGAAGACGCTTCTGAGAGCCTTTTTCAGATCCCTGCATTAGTCCATTTGGTGAGATTTTTCCAATCATGACTTACTGGTAGCTTTTTCCCATTGAGCCACACTTTTACACCGCTTGCCACTGCAGCAATATCATAGGCTCGGCGTGTGAAGAGGTCCACTGTGTCCCTATCCAGGGTCTCCATCTTGAACTTAGGCAGATCTGGGTAGAATGTGATAGCTGTGAAGTCGTCACTCTTTGCCTCTGTAATTGTTGGTTCCTTTGTTTGGCCCATGTTGTTAATCCAAGTCTACAATGAATTGTAAACAAAATAATCACCAAATTCTTTACTATGAAATAAATCTTTCTGGTCCAAATGTGGTCAAATCTGTATGGAAATCAGACGTATCAAGAAACTGTGAAACAATCTTCTTTCGGATGCAAGTTACAGCAAATTTTGTTATCGAAGCAAAATTGTAAAAGTAATCACAAGAGAATTTTAACATGGATGTTAAATATTAAACACTGATATTTAAATCTATGAGTATCTACATGTACCATACATATACTGTGATAAGGCCAAGCTTGTTTCATAAATATATTGATATTGATGAGTGACAATTTGTTCTCTTGTGTGTTTATTCTGACAAGTCCTTGTTTGGTAACTTTCAGGTGAAGTTTTCACAAAAGTGTTTGAATTCAATTACAAAGTCACTTGTTTATGAAGTCAAGTTTTAGAATGAATATGATGAAACTGTATAGTCATTGTCAGAGTATTATACCATATTCAATAAAACTGTTCTGGTATGCAAACAGGTCATACTAAGCCACTTCCCTCACACATCCTATATACAAGCTTATCTTCATCTTCATCTGAAGCTTATAAAAAGTTTCAGACCATATAGACCATGCCAAGACAAAATATCAATATTTACCTGTTTGAATCCTTTATGGTATTCTTTGGAAGAGGTTTCAACAATGAATTTAGTGCTGAAAATATTACACAGCTTGGCACCATATCCGTTTCTGCCCCCTGGAAAGGACGGCATCATATAAAGAATGTCAAATTGAATCATTCTCTTTGTGTATTTACTTCTCATGTGACTGCTGATATTCATTGCGTATACCCATTTCATGTTTTTGTGAAGAAAAATGTCATATGACCTATTGTGATGTCATAGGATGACAATGAAATGATGTCATTAATGTATGTTCGAAAGTGACAGGAAGGGTGTTTGGTAGTGTGGGTGGGATCATGTGTGATGGAGGATGAAAGGATGTGTTACTCTGAGTCTTTGAGTTTTGAACTACATGCTGTATGATGACCTAAGAATATTGAACTTGTAAATATGTTATTGCTAAAAATGTTTGATGTAATGTACCATGTAAGGTTTTTGTAATTTCTAAACCAATGTAAAAAACTTGAAAAAAAAAAAATGCATTAAGATGCCATAATTAGAAAAATGACAAAGAAATTTTTTTTTCTGTCATGTTTGCAATCATACTTGTTCCTGTGATAAAAAGGATAATTCAATATATGATCTATAAACAAGAGATCCCAAAGGCATCTTGGCGCCCACCATTGTTTGATCTTTATTTTCTCTTTGACAGTTGGATTTTCCCCCTTCTTTTCTCTTCTCTGTTTTTGCTCGTAATGGTAAGAAATTTGAACATCACTTTGCAGAAAAAGTGATGACAATCTTTACCTGCCAAATCCAAAATGTATGTCTGAAAGTCATTTTGTGTTTTCTGATCAGTCCGAAAATCAAACAGGCACAAATACAGACCAAACAGAACTTACGTGTGAAATTTGAGAAAATCATTCAGTACTTCTGAAGGAATAGGGATAATAATCTTTACTAGACAAAATCCAAGATGGCTTCCTGTTGGCCATTTTGCTTTTCTGATCAGTCCCAAAACTAGATGGGCACAACTAAGGGAAAAGGGGAACCTACATATGAAATCTGAGAGAGATCCAATAAGTCCTTTAAAGAAATAGCAAAAAAATTGCTTACGGACAGAGGGAAGGCAATTTGAAGAGCCCACCATCTGATGATGAAGGTCTAAAAACCAATGAACTTTTCAAATAGGGAGTCAGAGAACAAAAGATGGCAAATTGTAAATTGTCTATAATCATCAATTTTCTTGCAATAAGAACCATTTAAGCATAAAAAAGATCAGCTAATTACCTGTGACTTTTTTCTCTGTATCGTCGTAGTTACTTGAGGTAAGGAGATGGCCGAAAATCATGGTTGGTACATACATCTTTTCTGTTTTATGTTCAACAACTGGGATGCCTCGGCCATTGTTCCAGATCTTTATTTTATTGTTCTCGCTGTCAAAACAGTATCAATTAACTTTACGATTGGGCAGGAGACATGAAAAACAGACAGTTTAATAGAAAATTCTTGACAATTTTACAGCTTTTAGACCTTTGTAATTTTCGAAATTCTGATTCAGAAGCTGTTAAGAAATAAAATTTGTTCTTAATCATAGAGAAAAAAAAAAAAAAAAAAAAAACCAGAAATCCTCTGAGAGAAAGAATGATCACAACTACTTATGCTTACAAGAATTTTTCCAGGGAATATTATCAGTATGTCACAGATTATAAAATAATGCATCAGTCCTTTTTAAGTTCAGCATTACACATTTTGCTTTATGAAAACTTACGGATCTATTTCAATTCTTATACAGTTCATGCTAGGATCTCTCTGCTTGTTGTCGGCAGCATTAACTACAAAAGTAAACATTGAATTTAAAGTCACAATTAGCGTATACAATTACATAATGCTTATGCCAGGAGATTATAAGTATTCAAAGGTTTGCTTTGATGTTAAAGTTAGTCAAATATCAATTTAGGAAAAGAATAATAAAAAAAAAAAAAAAAATTTTCATTTTGTGTGTTGCAAGGAAAAAAGCAGTTCAACATGACTGGACTTCCAAATTAGAGAACCCACTATATCTTTAAGTATTGGGACTCATCAAAATTTTGGAATTGGGTGTCTTGGACTCGCCTGAAAAATCCTACAAAAATTTCTGGTTTAAAAACAACCTTAAGCATTGTTTTTTATCAAATAAAACAGGATCAGTTTATCTGTTTTTCTTGAATGTATTACATTTCAACATAAATTTATAATATTACCTAAAATTTCATCAAAGATTTTGTACAGGCCAGGCACAAATGTGATCTCTCTCTGAACCATTTGTTCTTGTATATCATCGTACACCCACATACCCTGAAAAATAAGAGGTCATTGACAAAAAATCTTTTCAACAAAGCATCATATCAGTATCATATGCAGCAACATTTTTCATCTTTTTTTTTTTTTTTTACTGGAAACTGACACTACTAGTCTTTCATCACATCAGTTGCTATCAGAGATGGTTTCATTCTTTGCCTTCAAAAAATAGAACAAAAACCTCTTATTTCCTGATATTAGTTCAAAATTGTTAAATTCTCAAAAATTATATGTTCAATTTTGCTGATTTGAATACTCCCCCATCCCGGTTCAGAAACCGGTTGAAGACAAAGACTTCTGTCAAGGTATTGCACAGCATTGCATCAATTCAAAACAAAAGAGCCACTCATACTCATACGTGGTCATCCACCCCCCTCCCCCACAATGCAATTCTTACAGCAGCTATCCAAACAGTATGGTTTTTACCTAAGTTGTTTCAAGAGAATGTATATGCTTTGCAGTAACAAAAACGGAATATTGTGAGATTGTCATAATGAAACTTTTGAAAACTTGGGTTTCTACTTATGGAAGTAAGGCAAAAGCAAGCTGCAAGTGTCACCAACCTCTTCTTAAATAGTATCTGGTCATGGCCTTCAAACTCAAGGGTGACATGTTGTTTTAGAGAGTAATCAGGTAAAAATACCTTACAATCAATTCTGTTGCATAGTTTGGCCAAATAATTATAATTTGAGCAAAAATGGTTAGGAAGTAGGCAACATTTATTACTTTAACAAATAATCTTATAGGGTTATATAGAAGAACAACCTCATGACTGTACAGTGCTTCTTTGTAAATTTGCTTAAAAGCTTTGGGTAGGCACAAAAACCATTAGGACAGGTAAGGTTTCCAGAAACATTTTTTGTTTTGTTTTTCACTGTATCATATCTGTTTAAGTACTTAGATGATGACATCATTTTTTGAGTAGCCAATTGAAAATAAAAGTAGTCAATGGCTACTTTGGCTACCGACAGCGTGAGCCCTGGATGTTCTTTGTCTATTTGAATATTAATTTGACTATCTTAGATCCCAAATTGAATTAGAAACTTTCAAATATCAGAAGATTGTAGCATTTTTCCTTATCTGAGTCAGTCATATGGCCATATTTAGATTGACCTTACAAACTCAGAAGAGCTAGCACCACTGCACTACTGCATCTTGCTTAATTTTACTTCAAATGATACTTTAAGTGTTACACACTTACCTGTGTTACAGGTTCAGTGGAACCAATGTAGGAATCTGGACGTAGCAGAATGTGTTCCAACTGTGATTTCTTCTGGTATATTCTTTCAATAGAAACACGTTTCTTTGTTCCCTTTTTGGCATCTTCTCCCTCCCCCGACGCTGGTAAGTGTACGATATCTGTGTTTTCTCCTTCCATAACTTGTGGTTTGGTGGCTTTTCCTTTACTCTTGGTCTTTTTCTCATTTTCAGCCTTGGCATTCATGTTATCGAAAAGAGTCTAAAGCAAATGAAAAATTAAATAAATTAAATAAGTTGAACCAAAATGCACAGTTGATCGTGAAAAAATTTTACAGGGACAACTTCAATCTTTAAAATAGAGCTCTGTAAGACATGACATAAATAACTTTGGGTATTGCATCTGTATAAGTATACCACCTTATAAAATCTGGCTTACCAAATCATGTTGGTGGTGAATTGGATGAAAGCAATGCACAAATGCTATTAATATACAAAACTGAAAGAGACAGTATATATCTGGAAGTTTATAGGAAATTGATTGTTACCATAGAATCTGGCTTATTGGTCCCTGGAAAAACTACAGTTTAGCAAATATTGTTGTGGGCTTAAGGGAGGCTAATCTATAATCAGACACTTTTCTTGAATGAAATACAATCAAAATGTGAACCACCAGCTGTCAAGGAAAATTTAACTTGTAGTAACTCAACTAACTTTCTATAATATCTACTTTACTGGTACTGTTATAGTTCTAGCAACAATGCTGTATTTTCCCTGTCCTGTTAAATTGCAAGACATCAATATGATTGCAAATCATGTTTCTAATCTGTAAATTCTAGGGCAATTTTGTACTTCATGATAGCACTGAACACATGTTTTAATGTGGATTTCAACTGTTCTTTCAATGTAAACGAGACCATGGATTGGAACAGTTGGACACAGTGGGTTGGGGTTTGTAATGTGGGGCATGTCATGCTGATGGACATAGCACAATTAGAAAATTGCTTAGTTTCTTGCTGAAAAATCTAATACACCTTGTGTTATTGGTTTGGTAAGCATCAAAAGACTATATTATTTAAAAGAAATTGGAAAATGGTGATTGTATCACCACTAGGATGTAGTGTCATTCCAATGATAAATGTGGGTTTGATATATTCAGTCAATGTATACAAGACAATGGCATATCAATAGGTGGGCGACACCATGGGCACATGTATCTTGCAAGTAAAGAACACTGGTGCTGGGGAGGCAGGGAGGTCAACCTGAGGAAGAGATTGTATAGTTCAATAACGGCTTATTTTCTCAATAGAACTTCATCACTCAAACATTGTGTTACGTGGTATGACTGCTAACGTTATGATCTACATTGAGACCATTTCGATGGAGAATTGTAATTCTGTCACCACTCTTCAGTAAAAAAGTTTGCCTTGTCTTTTGATGTTACCTTCAACGGTCCCTCTGCCATTTTGTTTGTTGTTATAAGACGACCACCATTAAGAAGGGCAAAATCTCTCTGCTGAGACTGACAAGGTCTTTTAGCTAAGGTGATTTTTTCCGCTACCTTCCCCCTATTCCCAGCAAACGTGTTGTGATTTCGCACCGCTTTTAAATTTGAAAGTGCCCGCGGTGTGCGTCCAATCGGATATCGGATAAATAGCCACGTGACTTGACATGGGGTCATAACCTTTCCTCCATCTGTGAACTGAATGTTTGTTTGTTAAAACTATCAACATGCTGACCGTATCAGTTTATGTACTTACCACCCATTGCAGGCTATTGTTAATGCTTGCTTGGGCCATACGTATTCGTTTAATAATATATCCAGATCACTAGAATGGGTTAAAAATCCAAAATAATATTTCACAACAAAGCCGACGGTGATGTGATGGCCGGTGCTTCCCGAACAATCCTTTATGTTTACACCGTCTTATTTTAATTCACATTGCACATTTTGATTGCATTTCATAGCACCCAATAGAGTGGTACTATAAACTGGTGGTCACCATGTAGTTCGTATTTGCAGCTAGAATAAATGAGCTGCAATGCGAGACACTCAGCCCTAATTATCACCCGCCATTAAAGAGATAGTAGAACGAGTTGTATGGTGTGTTTTCATTGGATGAATGTAATGTAGCTGACCAACAGACATTCCCGTAACAAGAGTCAAACCAAACCTTCATCACCAAAGAGCTTGATGTTGTCAGAAGCTGTTGCAATATGCTTTGTATTGCTTGATTTCCAACTCCACAGAGGCACCATGGCTGGTTCAGCTTTAAAGAGATTGTTAGCTGAATACAAACGTGAATATCATATAACATTAAGAATTGTTAATTGAAATGAATATGATCTGATATTTCCCAAGAAATCACTTGTATGGTGTTTGAAAGTCTTTAGTTACATACGTAAACTCGTACACTATTACTATTAGGATATGATTCATGTAGTTTTCATATGACATTTAGATTATGATATAGAATAATTCAGAGAGGGGAAACACTAACACAAGAATTTAAACAACAAGAAATCTATGGCATAAGTGAGCATCACACTTTGAATAAATCGTGAGCATATACGTTGCAAGGATAACTGGCAGACACATTCAGTTGTGATGAAGTGTGTATCGATCGACTAAATATTTAGCCTTAAACCTTTTGTCGCGTCTTTCATCAAATTCTCTAAATTACATTTCTTGCATATAGTTATTTCCATATATGTAAAAAGAACATGTCAGTGTTGTTTAATATATAACAGTATCAAATTATGGACAGCACATGATGAACAGATATCATTTGAAGATACCTCTTTTCTCAGTATATTTTTTGAAACTCTGAAATATTGCAATTTTAGAAGTTATGAATATTCTCATGATACATGCATGTAACGGTATCTACAACAATCTTCTTTTTCTTGACAGAATTGACACTGAATCCCCCAGAAGGAATTATAGCTGGACCGGTCGACGAAGAAAACTTCTTTGAATGGGAAGCACTAATTATGTAAAATATGTTTTTACAATTTTTATATCAATTAAATTTTCTTTTAATGAAAAGCTGTGATAACAGATAATCTTTCAATAATTGATTCTATTAATAAAAAATTTGCTTCCTTCATTGAAACTTTAAAAGTATTACAATTTATTCATTACAATACTACTGAAGTTTTATTTCCTGGCTGTCCATTTTTGCCATAATCTGTATTTTGTATCCAGACTTGAAGCCTTGGACATAAATTTTAGCAATATTTTCTGTAGATGTTGAAATATTTTCTGGATTCTGTGGATTTGAGGGTTTTACAAGTGTGATAGTATACCAGGGACTAATATTTTTCATTGAGGTAGCTAGATTTGAGTAAAGAATATAAGTAATGGAGTGTTTTTTTTATAAATATATTGATAACCTAAATAAGGATTTAAAATGATATGTAATCTAAAAAAACAGAAAAAGAAATATTGCAATCTTTATATATGTTAATACATGTCTTATCATACATTGTAGTATTGTAAATTTGTCATCATGGTTGGGTATATTGCCTTGTGATCAGCCATGGTCATTTTAAGATGGGGTCTCCTTGCAGTACCAGGTGGTCACCTCCCTGTACAACATACAGGAGACCCATTATATGCCATTTAGAGCAATTAGGGTAAAAACCAATGGTTGATACACAAGCTACCATAGGTATATAGGGAGTGTCAAACTATGCACCTCGGATCTTCATCTGAGATTAGATAGACTAACGTTTTAACTGACTGAGCTATTGCTGTCTCTGTTTGAGGTATGTTAATGGTGAAATTTGTCACTCAAGTGTAGAACATAAATTTTACAGAATGGCTGATTGATTCTAGCCATATGAGTGAAATATCAGAGACAATCTTTCATTAAAACAATTATTTAACATATTTACTGTTTTGTGTTTGATGTTCATTGTAAAATGAGATTATGGTAAGGTCTATTCACCAGTTGTCTGTATAATATTACTAAGTGGGGTATCAAGAACAAAGGGAATTAATTTACATGTATAGGTACTGTGCAGATATATCTTTTTTATTACTGGTTAATTGTCTCATTTTATATTGGACAGGTATGAAATATTACAGTACATTATGTTGTATGTTAAACACTTTTTCTTCGTCTTCAGGGGACCTGAGGATACTTGTTTTGAGGGAGGAGTGTTTCCTGCCAGACTTACTTTCCCTTCAGACTACCCTCTAAGTCCTCCTAAAATGAAATTTACTTGTGATATTTTCCACCCTAATAGTAAGTAAATTAAAACATGCTATGAACATACTATCATGAATTTGTACTTGTCTGATCAAATTATTAGTCCCTTGCCGGTGAAACCGGAGGGGACTTTAGTGTTTGTCTCCGTCTGTCCATCTGTCTGGATGTTGGTTTCCAGACGATAACTTGAGAACAGATTGATGGATTTGGATCAAACTTCATACAATGGTAGTTTATAAGGCAATACAGTGTTGGATTTTGTTTGGGGCCAAAAGGTCAACTACAAAGGTCACTGTTACTGAAAATAGAAATTGTTGTCACATTTTAGTTTCCGGACAATAACTTGAGAACAGATTGATGGATTTGGATGAAACGTCATACAATGGTAGTCTATAAGGCAATATAGTATGGGATTTTGTTTGGGGTTAAAAGATCAACTACAAAGGTCACTGTTACTAAAAATAGAAATTGCTGTCACATTTTAGTTTCCGGACAATAACTTGAGAATTGATGAATGGATTTGGATGAAACATCAAACAATAGTAGTTTATAAGGCAATATAGCGTGGGATTTTGTTTTGGGGTCAAAAGATCAACTACAAAAGTCACTGTTACTAAAAATAGAAATTGTTGTCACATTTTAGTTTCCGGACAATAACTTGAGAATGGATGAATGGATATGGATGAAACTTCATATAATGGTAGTTTATAAGGCAATATAGCGTGGGATTTTGTTTGGGGTCAAAAGATCAACTACAAAGGTCACTGTTACTAAAAATAGAATCTTGTCACAATTTGGTTTTCAGACAATAATTTGAGGACGGATTGATGGATTTGGTTGAAACTTGATACACTGGAAGCTTAGAAATAAGAAAACAAGACACTTCTGATACAGAACAAGTTCTGCATTACTTGAAAAAATAATGTATTTATACTTCAATTAGATCATGGGGCCAACATATAAATTCGGATCCATAGTAAAGGGTTAGCTTATTGCAAACAGTTAAGTAGCATTTGCTCCCATTTGCTTTACAACAGAACATTGGTGGGCTTATTAACAGACATGGGCTTATTTGCTGATAAATACAGTAATTTACAGCAGGGGACGTGTTGCATGCAACACTAACTGTAAGCTTGTTTATTTAGGATTTTATCCTTTCACTAGCTTAGTATTTGTAGATTTTACATCACTCTGGGCTCATTAAAGTGATTCATTTACTGATGAAATACAGGTCAGTTACAAGTATTTGAATTTTTCTGAAACAAATTTTGCAGAATGGTATTCTAAATATGAAATTGTACATTCAAAGTGAATGGTTTGATTAAATTACTGATTAGTGAAGTTTTGAACACTGTTGAACGATCTTTTCTTTTTCATTTATACGTATTGGATAGGGAGATGTCAACACTCTGGGAAAGATTATTAATTTAGCAAAGCATTTAGCCAGTCTAACATTTAAAAATCCATCTCCTCAGTTGAAATATACTGAAAGAGGTCAAATATATGTGTTTAATAATTTCGTTTTTCATACTGATAAGTATTTTGTGCATTCATAACTTTAAGAGTGGTTTCCCTTTGCAGTATATTCTGATGGTCGTGTTTGTATATCAATTCTTCATGCACCGGGTGATGATCCAATGGGTTACGAGACAAGTGCAGAGAGATGGAGTCCAGTGCAGAGTGTGGAGAAAATACTTTTGTCTGTTGTCAGTATGTTAGCAGGTAAATACTTTTTTTTTTTTTTTAAATTACGGTTTTTACATGTTTTCAAGGAGCAGTTTTCCTATATTTTGATTTAGATAATTTTAGCCCATTATCATTAGATGGAGGACTATTAGAATTACTCTTCATCCATTCTGTCCGTCCCCCTTACACAATTCTTATTACCACTATTTGTGGTGAAGCAGTGGGTCAGGATTTTCCATAAGAGCTGGTCGGCGGCCAATTTTACCGGCTACTTTGATCATTTGACCGCCTACACCAATCCAGTTCCGTAATAATGTTCCGTACACGACTACACGTACATGGCAGGCCACCCCCACCTCGCCGCGTTGCAGCTAGCTTCGCCAGCCTCCTACTTTCACTACACAGCCTACTACTAACAAAATTATGGAAAACCCTGAGTGGGTGAATCATCTCATACATAACTAATCATAAGAACTGAAAACTTGGGGATATGGGTTCATCTTAGTGAGACAGTGTGTTGCATACCGAAAGGTCACTTTGATCTATACTTTAACCTTTGACCTTAGTGATGTATTGTGGGACTGTTTTTGCTGAATTGTTTTTTATCTTTTAATATTCTAAAGATGAGAATTAAAAAAATTATTGATTTACTATTTATTATTAATCTTGCATCGTAAAATGAATCACAACTGTGCAAGATATATGTTTACTTTTAAACATATTTATGTTTTTGGTCACCTAAGACAAATTCTCATGGTGAACTATTGTGAAACTTTTTTGTCTTCTGTTGTCCATCATCTAGCACTCGTCTGTTGTGCGTCGGTGAACTTTTTACATTTTTGACTTCTGGAGAATCCCTGAACTGATATCTCATTGAAACATGGCATTACCATTCCATGGCCAAAGATAAACCAAAATTGTAAATTATATGTTCCCCACCCCCAAAGAAGCCTGAGCGGCGGGGCCAAAAATGGTCATATGGACTAAAATTTAAAAAAATATTCTTCTCAATCCCAAATATGTAGAATCTAATACTTATCATGGATGGAAGGGTCTTAATGTGCTTTATCAAAATTGAAAATTTCATGACCCTAGGGTCACACATTACCCCCTAGAGAGCAGGTAAAGTTTACTCTAGTTCATATAGGAAAATTACATTTTTGAGCATGATTTGTTTATTTTTAATTGGAAATAGATCAAACTTTGTTAGAATTGTTAGCTTAGGATGAGAGTTTGATGTTTTACACATATTGATAATGACTGACTCCCAGGGACTGATGGGCGGGGCCAAAAAATCAAATGGATTCAAATTTCATAAAATTTCTTCTCTATACCCAAACGAGGTAGAATCAAATAGGTACTCCTCATTGATGGAAGGACGTTAAGGCACTTTACCTTGGCTGATCCCAGGGGCTGATAGATGTGACCAAAAAGGATGAAATTGACTGGAATTTATTTTTAATTTTCTATACACAAATGTAGTAGATTCTAATACTCTTTATAGATTGAAGGGTCTTAAAGTTAAAACTCTTCTGCCCCAGTACAAATAGCATTTTCTCATTTCATCTTCTTCCTACACATTCCAGTAGTTTACATTTGTGAGTTCACTCATGTGATCGTTTAGGCCCTTTGGCCTCTTGTTTATGTTTTTCTTTTATTCAAATCAATAAATATTAATACTTTAATTTCTGCAATTGGAACATAATAATAATTCTTTTTACAATATCGGTCAATGATTTTCTGTTTTCCATTGTTTTCTAGAGCCAAATGATGAAAGTGCAGCAAATGTAGATGCAGCCAAAACATGGAGAGATGACAGGAAAAAATTTCTTGAAATTGCAGAAAGAACTGTTCGGAAATCACTTGGAATCTGATAATTTACAAATATGACACAAAGTACAAACAACTTAATTAATATTGCCCAAAGGTGCTCAAAACCTTGAAAAATACAGCATCTCCTTCGCATTCGTAAAATGATCATGGATTCAGTGGTGTTGGGACAATGTTAACAATATTTCTCTCTCACTTCACAACCCTTGTTTAAAACATCCTCTCATATGACATTACTCTGTGATTTTCAGTTTGGGAAATATATTTTATTAAATCTTTCGTTGCGAAACTGTATAAGAACTAAGAATTTGAAATAGTGAAACGTTCATATGTCCCTGAAATGATAAATGATACAGATTCACATAAATTTTAGTACTAGCTGATTTCTTGTAAACTATTTATCAACAATATCAAATGCCTGTGAAATAACAATTTTCTGAAATTCATGTACCATGGATTGATCTCCTCAAAATAACAAATTTATAGGATTTAGAATAAGTGTTTAATTTCTTGTCATAAACTGTCAAAGTATAAGAAACCACGAAATACAGAGTATCAACGTTGATGAGAAATAGTCTTGTGTTCTGTATTTCAAGGGTAGAGAATATTTCACATCATCCAACTTTTTATCAAATTTCTTAAATTTTGTATAATGCATATCAATAATTGATGGAACAAATGCTTGTTTTGTCTGTTGAATTTTGTCATTGTTGAATTTAACCTGTAATGTTTACTTAAAGGTTATTAAATTGTTACCACTTAATATCATCTATTGGGGCTGTGATAGCTCAGTCAGGGGAGGCTTGGCCTGTACACCTTCAGCCATGTGGTTCCTCAACAATCTGTTTTGTTTCTCAGGAAGCAAAGAAACAAACAAAAATGGTTATGGCCTTTGGCAAGACTCTTTACCCATATTACTCTGAATGTCATGCCATTGGCTTCCCGTATATTGTTGTTGAGGTAGCCACAAGCTCCTGCCTTCAGATAACCCCGGTTGTTCATGGGGCGATCAACCCAACAAGCAAATGTCTCCCTAGAATTCTCTGTGTAAACTATATGTAGCATGTAGATTATACTTGTCAATTTATATGGCCATATATGTATTGGAAAAGCTGCACGATTGCTTGAGTATGTATGTTACCACAGTACACTAGAATCAACTTGGAATATCTAATATATCATATTCATCTTGTTTATGGTTGAATGTTATGTTTCTCCTTTAAAATTCAAGATTGAATTTCACTTTTTGTACGATTTTTTCACAAGTAAAATTCGTCCATGAGATTACCCAAGGAATAATGAGAAGATCTAAATCCATCAGAATAGGAGTAACAATTTGAATCTACACTAGTAATTCAAATATAATTTATGAAAAATTACTTATATAATATATATTGTTTTTGTTCCTTCTGTATAGATAATTAAATGATAATTGTACTATATTATACTGTCAGACATACATGGAGGATCAACAATGTGATTATTAAAATATTTATTATAGTTAAGTGGTGTTTAAACGTTATTTATTTTATGTGAATTTTTGTTTTTCATAGTTGAAGAAAAAGAAATTAATCATCAGTGATGGCTAAAAGGATTAAGGTTTGTGTCCAAAACTGATTGGATTAGCATGAAATTAACTATTGGATCAAATTACAGTATTAGAAATAAAATCTGACAAGTTACAATACCCTAATACCCAATAATATTTACCAATATTTTCAACACTATGTACGATAACCAGAGATTCATCTGGACATCACAGTAAGGTTGACCAATATTTATGTAACGGTAGTAATACATGAATATATAATATTTTCCCATTTTGTCTTGTATCTATCCATACCAAAGAAAATGACTTCATGAAGATTTTCCAGATCCAATGGTGTGTCATGAGAAATTGACAAAATGACACCAAATTATATTGGTTTTGAAAAAAAAGACAGTCAAAAACCTTCAGCTTCCTGATCCAGGAGAACTACAGTGTTTTCTGATATTGTAAACTGTTGATAATTCAAAATTTTGAAAGGCCAAACACACTTCTTGAGCAAGTTAATTATATTCTTTAAAAAGAGGCCTTGATTTAAGTCTTTCAATGAAGTGACATAGACTTTTAAGTTCATGTTACTATCAAATAACATTCTTGATTGCTGGGCTTCAAAGTTTGTTCAAATGGCAGAAACCTGCTTTTTAATTTCAAGACAATAAAATGTGTTGCTAATTTATCTGTAGTATATTACCGCCAAGTATACTGAATAAGGGTCAAATGATACAGACCAATGAAACCTCTTGATTTACTTACACAATACATAACAAGTATTTGAATCTGCCATAGTTGACACTGAATTTGAATTGAGTATCTATACAAAGGTCAATTGTAATGATGAAAAAGCAGTAGGAGAGTTCCAGATCTTCATTTATTGTGTAATTCTCAGAGAGACAGAAAAATCGAACTCCAGTATAACACCATCAATTATTCTTCTGAAAATCCTTTTGTGAATTCTGAAATGAATTCTTTCTTTGTAAGAATATCTGTTGCTTTGAATAAACATGTTCTCAGCAAATGAAGACAAGAACAGATTTGACCTTAAATGTTTAATATTGAATAAATGGAAACAGAGACATACATGGTTGTAAACAAGTGAATGAATTTATAGAAATTTACTAATTGGAGATGGCTAATGAATTAAAAGGTGTGCTTAGAAAATATAAAATGTAACCTAGAACATGTATATAAATGGTATCACATTATTTTGTATGAAGTGAACAATAAAATCTAATTTAATGGAAATTTTTTATAAAATTTAAAAGTGCCTTTATATCATAAAACGTTAAAATACAGTTCATGTAAACAGTATAGCATTATCATGTGTGGAGTAAAAATCCACAGAACATTTAACCAGAGACAAGTAAAGCTTGATTAATTAAGCCTACAAAAACTGTGTACATGTACAATATAAAAATATTTTCCATATAAGCAATTTCTTAACAGTTATTTACACTTAGCAATATATATTAAATTCTTATAAATAATGCAGATATTCTTTATAAAAAGGTGTTCTAACATGCATTGTAAAATTAATAGGATATCCACTTTTTTTCCAGTTATTTCTAAATAAAGTAAAAATCTTATAATACAAAATGCACAGATGATATCCCTCGATGTTTGCAAAAATTTGGATGGATATTTTTAATAATATTTTTTGAAGATTTACAAGATATAAAAATATTTCTAAGGTGTCCATTTTTTCAAATCAGTATCAAAATTTTATGAAACCCATAGTTAAAAGAAAAAAGTAAAATATCATAAAAGTTGGAATGATTTGAAAAAGTTTGGCTGACAGGATTTCAAAATGCTTTGGTACCAACAGATAAATTTTGTAGTACATACTTATATGTTTTTATTATTGAACTTAAAAATGAATCTAAAGTATGAAAAGCTGAAAAATAATGCTTATAGATATTTATATCATTGATAAAACAGAAAATGTGCTAGATAAAGCAACTTAAAGAGTAAAGATCAATATCGTATTACTTTGTGGAAATCATTTTGTGTAAAGTAAAGGTTTTTTGTTACTAACACCATTAAATGTATGAAAATCCAGATGACATGATATATTTTACATATATTTATACATATACATTTGATAAAAAGATTCTAAAATCATATCTTTATTGGAACTTATTCTATGGATGTAAATCATTTTTATCCTCAAAATCTGAACAAAAAACTGAAAATGACTCTTAAGGGATGATGATGGCTAGAAGGATACCTACAAATATCCCTTTTTTTTCAAAACGCTACAATTTATTATGTTAAATTCTATTTAAATTCTTGGATGATTAGTTTATAAGGCATGGTGGAAATACCTATTATTAAATTTATATTGAAAGAAATAAAAAGATGGTAAAATTGGAGAATAAACATTTTCAAATTGCAAACATTACAAGCTCATTTGAATGCATACAATGATCTCAGCACTCTGAGTCACTCAGTGTAACCTTGACCGTGACCTTGGTGACCAGAAACACTAACTTGTTTCTGGTGTTTTGATACATGACCTGTATACAACAAACAGTAAATAAGTAGATTGTATGAGCAATTTTAAAAGTATATCTTCTCCAAGATCTTTAATAAACAGATAAAAATTTATGGATACCACAACTTATCTGTTTTCTTATGATACAGATATATAATGACTTCAAATTTATGGAATTTTTGCTGTCCTGTGAAATGCCAAAATATATTACTGAATGTGAACAGTACATAAAAATTCAAGTTGAATCTATTTTAGATATCATGATATCTTGATAGAAGAAAATACGGATTATTGGTTTTTTTTTTATCTTTACATCAAATCTATCTGAAATGACCAAATCTTTTACACTATAGTTAGTAGCCAGCTTAGATTCTTCTCCGTACTTCAAGTATGGAAATTTAATTTTGGAGGATAAACGAATTCTGTTAATGTTAAGCATTCAGTTTTCCATTTTTCTTCAAATTGACTTATGTTCATTTCAAATTTTAAATACATACAAGGACATCTTAGAAATTCTATCATCTTAGAAATAATATGTTTGATTAAAGAATTCTAGATGGATTAAAAAGACTTTGAACATAAGAGGTTTTATCATCTTATACACTTTCACTGGTAAACATGAAAAGAGATTGAAACTTGTAAACTACAAAAGCATCTCTTTAACAAATTGCCAACTTTAAAAAAATTATAAAAAATTACTAGCTTATTCATCTGTTTCACTGTTTACACCCAATGTCTTTGGCTTTTTACTTTCCAAAGCAACAGAGAATTTTCCCTTTTCTCTGTTTCTTCTTGTTGCCATCCAGTGGCTTCTCTGATGCGATCTCAACCACATCTTCATACGCAATCCCTGGTGTGACCTCACCCACATCTTCACAGAGGTCAATGGAAATCTCAGGGATGATATCATTCAGATCAATTATTTCAAATGTGTCCTCTGGCCTTGTTTTCTTCATCTGTGATGTTAAAAAATTACATTGCTTGCTTTAGTTTTGTTTGATGCCTTTACATAAGAGTCGCAAAGATATTGGGTTCACTAAGACCTGTTTTGACATTTTACGAAAACCATATCATTTGGAAAAAAAAACCATTTTTCAGAAAGTTCAGAGAAAAAAGACACTTTAAACGATATACAACAGACTATCAATATTTAGAATGTAGAAGAACAGAAGTGCTATGTTCAGCAGTCTGAGTGCAGCAATATACACAAATATTATGAAGACTTACTGGGCAGAGGGTGTCCCACAAAGATTTTGTTGACTTGTATCTAAATACATCTGGAATGTAGGTTTCTGGTAAGTAAAAGGAAAAAAGTGTTATCAGTGAAGCAATTCAGTCAATTTTGATGCTATCAGTAAAACTTATTTGCTGTTTACAGTTCTTGTTCATAATCATGTATTTACTGGTTTAGAAATAATAAGCATGATTTTTACAATATTCTTTAAGCTCTAATAAAGCTTGTACAAATGATACACATGTGAACAGCATCTTTCGTATTAATTTATTAAGATAAAGCTGAGTCAAACTATGAATTTTACAGTATCATACAGTTGTTTTGTCCTTCTAGGACTCATAAGTAATGCTTAAGGCCTAAATTTTAGACATGGATGGCAACTGAGGACAATCCAAAGAGATATACAAACAATTTCAAAATCTCGACTGTGAGGTGCGTTAGACAAATAATTCCGTAAATTATGTAAATTTCACATATCTGATAATTTTAGACATCAAGTACGCCAATACAAATTTGATTCACATGACCCAGGAGTGAAGGTCAAAGTGACATAATTTCAGTGTTCCTATATTGTACAGTGCACCTCGTCTGTAAGTACAAGTAAGTTCTATCACATCTGTATGTAATGCAGTATTATGTTTCAAGTTTCATTAAGATATCTCTGATAGCTCAAAAGATAATGCTCTGACTTTACCTCTAATCCTGAGTTAAGTCAGAATGACCTAATTTCAGAGAAGCGTACACTACTTTTGGGTGATTTCAGTCGTTTCAAGTTTCCTCAAAACATTTCTTACAGATCAGAAGTTATGGTCTAGAAAAGATCTGATTGTTACTGGAAACTTCCTGATCGAATAATTTGCCTAAAGTATTTAATCTTTGAAGTGTCAGGATGTAAGATATATAAAGCACAATACAAGATATATAAAGTGCAATACACTATGGATTATACCTTTCAGTATGAAATAAAAAAGTATTTACCATTGCTCTTGTTAGCAAGAAGCAGCCTCCAGACATTGACACGTTCTGCGTGTTTCTTGCGTAGTGCTTGGTCCTCCATTTCAGGATCACACTGAAGCCAGGTTTTGATTAGGGATACATTCCGTACCAGCATGCTTCCTATGTCACTGTCTGCTTAATGTAAAGTAGAAAACAGACATTTTCAATTTTTACAGTGTATGTCTTTTTGATTTTAGTTGAGTTAACCAAGTTGATGACTAACTAATTCTAATTGCTT